CTGGTTTCCAACTGATGACGCTCGGGTCCTTTGGCTGTGATGTGGATACAAACGTTGGCCTACATCCCTAACCTGACTGTTTCTAAAGTTGTCTCTGTAAAATCATTCTTCAGTTTTCTCCGTTCTTGTGTTGTTACCTTTAGTTTATCGGTGGATTGGATTATTTGCCCAACTCTACCACGCAATATCTCCTGCGATTTACGGTATTCAAATATTCTCAAATGGTCTGCATAATTTACTGACTTTCTAGCATCTGGTTTACTGACATGGCGCGCAACGAAATGCACACAAGTTTCTTGCTGCTAATGACTTCTTGTTGTTAACAATCAATCATTTCTGAGCGGACTCGTGTATGACACCCTCCCCCCCCCAGAAAATGACGTCCTCCCAAACATCTGAGTACATAAAAATAATTGGGCCGAACCAACAAAGATTAGGTTTATCTATCTAGGACAACTTCAAATTGGCACACCGTCAGACTTCTCCGTAGTTATATGCCACCGTCAGGCTACGCCTTAAGCATTGCCTCTGGTCAAGTGGGGTGGTCATGACAACCAAGAGTGATTTCGCCGCTTGAATAATGATATCAAGCAATAAAAGTTTATTTGCCTGTAATCAGTTGAATTAGCTGACAAGAAAGATCCGGTGACAAAGTGAAGGTTGAAGAATTTGTCAGACTATTAAGTTCAACAGACGTGGTTGCGCTAAAACGTGCTAGTGTATAGTGACCCGGACAGCTAAATTGCGAAGAAATCCCCGCTAAAGATTTGACCAAACCAAGCTGTTTTCGTGTCTGGTAAACAGTACAGAGTCCGAATTCGTCGAATGTCGGCGTTCTAACTTCACCGATTCTTTCAAAACCTCCATATTGAATCTTTTGCATTTGATATATCGACATTAAGTCAAACCAAGTGAACAAAGCATCCCCAGGAAAACCGTAATGTTGTCAACGGACTAGAGTTTGAATCTAACCGACTGACTTAGGTATAACGATTCTATTCAACTCTTCCTATGTTTGGATAAAACTTGATGGTCCTCACTACTCTGGCTGAATAAGTAGCAACTTGTCACATCCCCTGGTCTTCTTGGTCCGACCGTTACTAAATCACACTGGAATATAGTGACGAATGCATGAATATCAGTCACCTGAGCAACACATCTCCCGTTACTGAATATGTTTCTGCAAATGTGATTTTGGTCAAACGATATTTCGGACAGGATTTACACCCTTGATAAAAAAGATAGTTGCGTGTTAATTTATAATCGGATTTTTCCTGTTGTAATACAGTAACTCTGAATCTCTTTTGCGAAGCGTTCATCAAACAGTCAAATATATTAGTGATAAAAAAGATAGTTGCGCATTAATTTATAATCGGATTATTCCTGTTGTAATACAGTAACTCTGAAGCTCTTTTGTGAAGCGTTCATCAAACAGTCAAATATATTAGAATGGATGAAATCGGCACATATCAAGCTGGAATGTAGAATAGCGGTCAGAACAGGAGCTACTGCTTGAAGTTTTTCCTTCAAAACGAAGCAAGAACAAAATTTCACCCTTTCCCCGTCAGAGTAAACATTCTTTTCGAAGAGGAAAACTGGGGGTATGGAATTTCTCTTCATTGTAACCTGCAGCCGGGGAAATTATTCCAAACATAAGATGCACAATCTAGATACCAAAATCATTGACTCAGTCATCTTTGATCCAGGTTTTATGGTCGGCTGTCACGTTAAACTGTCTGTAATACAAGCACCCCGAACAATCCGTCCAATCGTATTAAGGGTCACTGCTCGACGGGTACGACCAAAGGTCAATGCAAAGTAACATTTCCGAGCCGGAAAATGTTTTAAATGATGTTGGTTGACTTCACTGCTACGTCAGAAGGCATGGTCATGAACTACTTATTTGTCGCAATGACTAAAGTCTTGAGACTCCGGACTCCACATGCGTTCATCGTGTTCGCTAGTATGCTTCGGCTTAGAAGGTAGGAAAGTGTTGGACATATGGTGTTCTCACTGAGGACAAGGTGAGAAGTCAGTTAAGTTTCCAAGCTATCAATGAAGTCAGATTATGCTGAAAGCTAAGAATTACCATTACTAGAAATAGCTAACAGCGCACACCCTACGAAGCGCATAGAGTTTCGGACCCACGTTTCAGGCCATTGTTTGAACGTCTAATCATTAGGTCCCAAGCAACCAAACCCCAACTGGATTGGCCATCTTTCGGACATGATTTGGCATCAGTCACTCTTCACTCACAGAAGCAATATTACATATCAAATCTTGTAATACGTGAATGGTGAAAAACATGTCTATTAACCTCTTATATGGAGTTCCTCCTTTTATGAGGATATACCCGGAGTGAAACATGGAGGCATATCACCTAGGAGTGTTTCTTCTAGAGAACGCAGATCACTGTGTCTGCACTTGCACTCAGTGGACTCAATCAAGAATTCACCAACAGCTTGCAGGTATGACTGAAAACAAGAATACAGAGAAAAATGCGGATGCATCGAGATGGACAAATCACTGGGCGCTACCACGCAACATGGACGTGTTACAAGTATACATTCCGATCCTATCTCTTATTGTACCTTGGACTTATCATGTGCTCTAAATCGGAGTCTTGCACCACACTCAGAGGTGGTTCCCACTTCCGCTCATAGGTCCTTATCCAGCAGAGTAATGCGGCGATAAACCTTAGTGTGCTTGTGCACCTCGTAGCGTAACTGACCAAGCGGGTCATAATTAGTGTCGGCATCATAAACGCAAGTTAATCAATCCACATCTTAATGACAAACAGTGGACGCACATCTTTATTGAAAAGAGCAGTGCGAATTGCTTGACTTGTTCAGATATCACTTACTCCGCCCAACCATACTTTGTTTCTTCGCACAACCGGTTAGAGCATTCCAAGTGGTATGAGTTTCATCCTCATATGAAACTGCACCGATTGTAGGTTGTTCGTAACCAGTATACTTTTTCAGATTCCTCTACTGGATGCTTGGTGCTTTTGTGAGCAATGTCCGCCTGTCCTCGTACCCACATCGAAGCAAAGCTCACTGACAAACGAGTAGTCGAATGTGAAACCAGACGAATGATTTGGCGACTGTTACGACCTTACCACATTTCCGGAAGACTTAGATCTCCTGATTTCACACAAAGTAGGATGTACTTCCGGAACTGGTATGCTTTCTCTTCATCATCCTAGTCTGTCGGCTAGACTGACTGTGGAGAGGTCTTGCACACTTTGATTTTACTCTGTTCTTTACTTGTATTGTTTAGACCGCTTGCGGATATGTCAATTTCACCGGCTACAATAAAATTTATATTCAAAACTGTTACAACACAAAGATTGTGGTTATCTGATCAGCCGAGAATTTGAGCCTCATGCAATTTTCACGATCATCTGAATAACCCAAAGGATGTTTCTTCGTAACTAACAAGAACCAGTTAGGCTAATAGACGGGTTTTATTATCATCACCAATTCATCTAGATAACTCAGTTTGAGTATATAGGTATTTCAGCCTTTTTCCACGATCGACCGTATGCCAAGATCCTTCAAGCAAATATTTGTAAGAGGCGGTTGCTTTTTACCAAAACACACCATGGATCCAAATTTGTTAGATCATCAAGATGTCTTTATTTGACACTTCTTTAAAGGTCTTAGCGAAAATGTGGTTATGTCCACAGCCGAATTAAATATGTGGAAATCGACAAGTGGGAATTTCCGAAAAAGTCGTTTTCTCAGTACTGTCAAACAAGGTCATCAATGGATATTTTAAAGGTAGATTTTTTTCATAACAGTTAAACAAACCTGCAATAACTTTTAACATGCGTTTCTCTGTCTACAACTTCACAGATTATGATACAACGTAAGCAACAAGCAGTTTGGCCGGTTGCGACCCGGATTGTGGTCAAAGACGTAGATGTTTTCTACCGATTGCCAGATCTACAAGTCGACGGTAAAGCAACACGTCCACCCACAGGGTGGTGGTGTTGTCATGCGGCCGAGGTCGAACGTGCATGCGTGTATCGGCTGGACCTGTGGAACCGGAATCAACAGGTTCACACTACACGCAGCGGTGTGATTGAGAGCGAACGGATTGCAGCCATTCCGGAACTGACTCAGCAACGTCAGCACCAGACAAAATCTGACTTCGGACAAGGGACTTTGAACCATACAAGTGGGTTATTGAATGCTTTGTCCTGCTTTAATCGAATGGCTATTCACAATGTTCGTGTTGACCGCAAACTCGAGAGATAGGTCTAGGGTGTAAAAACCTAAATTCAGTTTGCTTGTGTGAAATACGCTGGCTATTCGTTTTATGAATTCGCCAACCTGATGCCTGTCGGTGAGAGGCTTTATGGCAAATATGTTATGAATGTCGCTTGATGTAATCTGCTATTATTTGCCCACGTCAATTCAGATTTCATCTCCCAATTTTCATCTCATTTTTCTTTCACGGTTACAATGACACAATGGATGAATAAACTGCAGCACACAATAGAGCATTCCCTTATTGCACTTACAGTCGGAGCTCGTACAATGCTGATGTCGTAGATGTTGGAGCAGATACCTCAGTGAGCTCTACCGGTCTCTGTGTGGGAACATGCTGCTCGGTATAAATACTCAAATGTTTTAGAACGTGAAATTTCACTGCATCCTTGAACCATTATAACAGTCATTTGTGGCTAAAGAAGATATTTCTACCACCGCAACTATCCATCGACAGTTGTGCTATCCTAAGCTATCAGCTAAATAGGCCGTAGGAGAGCCTGACAGATTTTACACCACAAAACTGTATATATACATGCATACATATATTCCTATCTTCATCTTTTCGTCTTAGTTATTGCGCCTGGTGGTGGGAGATCGTGCGTTCATCGGGGGTGTTGATTGTAGGACGTGCTTAGCTGGTATTTATTTGAACTGCCAAGACTATATCCAAAATGACCGAAGCCAATTCCCTATTTTCCAGTGACTCCCAACGAAAAAAAAACAGGGGATTCCAAACGTCCGCTGAATATTCTCCATTCCAGGTGAGTAACATTCTGTTGCACCAGGTTCATTCATTCATCTTCCAACATTCCCCACCAAGTTATGTAGGCGAAAGCTTTCGGTAACAGGTACGGGATGATAGCACGACAAATTAGATGTTTTAGATCTATACTATGGATGAACAAACCACGATAGCAATTGGAACAAACCAAGAAAGGTTGAGTTGGCGAGTTCCAGGTTAGAGTACAGCTGGGCGTGAGTCGTAATCTCAGTCACGCGAAATACAAACCTTTAAAATTAATTAATCTTTTGAAGGGATCCGACCCTTCAAAAGAAATTAGCGAACATCCACCGCGACCTTCCGGTTAGCACTTGGACAGTGAGGAATTCGACAGCCAGTGTCACGACATCAGCATCAGAAACGCTTAACTATGTAGAATATGACACTACATACCGTTTTATTATGCTATTCTCTTCATGTGTCAGACGTTGACTGGCTCCTCAAATAAAGAGCTTTTAAAAGGAATGCTCATAGGCTTTGCGTAGTTCTCTCACATTCTTTAACCTCCACATATAAGTGTAAAACGCCGGAACGAAAAAAATTTCTCAGGGGGCCCGGACGTCCTATCCGAGATATCACTGGAGTAGGTGGTTAACAAGTGGTCATGTGATGCGGATTGCGCTACGGAAGGATGAAATGCGCTAAACCCTGCTTGGGTGGTGAGGAACTATTACCACCCGGAGGTAGAGAGTTTGACTATAATAATCAAGATGTCGTGAATGCACCTTGTCATGTAGACTCGTTGGGTGCGCACCAGTAATAATCACCAGAAAAAGCAAAACAGCTGTGGCGGGCCTAGCATTTCTTTGACATAGATTGACCTCAGTTGCAGGAAGAAGATATTAATATAAAATACTACAAGATTAATAGTTCTGACTATCGTTACATGGCCCAGATGTATTCCACTTAAATCCACTTTCGGCAACTCAAGATAGGCCGAAATTCCCAACGCTTTAAGTTTCATATTTAGACGGAGTTCCCGATGATTTTAAGTGCACTCTCTCGAAATGTGAAAATGCCTTTCATAAAAATTAAATATAATAATTCACAAGCAAACAAAGGTGGGTTTGCGCTTACCTGGCAATAAGTGCCATATAAATGGCAAAGGCAGTTCCCATTTCAGTCAAATATATTAACTCGCATGGCTTCCACAAAGAAGAAAGGTTTTATTGGCAGTTAATTGCTCCCACTGGTGACTCACCAAGGTTTAAGTAAAATTTTACTTGTTATGCCTAAAATAACAAGTATTGCGGGATTTCACCAGGCCAAAAGAACCGGAGTGAAGTTTAAACAAGTCGAGTTGCAGAAAGGCGAAAGTTAAATTTCACCTCCTCGAGCGTCTTGCAGCCGACCATCAAATCGTACATTATAGACTCGGCAATAGCAGATAAGTTGTACTGACGGAACTACGGGGAAGAGTGTGCGCACCTTGGGATCACCAGATGTGTCTTCATCATCCTGTCTCATCCTGATGTTTTATGCCAATTTTCAGGAAAATGTTAACCGATTACAGAAACGGCAAGTTATCACAAGCCCCTTTTAGTTGGAATAAATATTACAAGACTCCTCGAAGCTGGTAAATGTTGTTCTCAAGCTGGCTGTCGCACCGAATATTGCGATTAGAAACAACTTTTTGCCGGACGGGTAACTTGACAAAGGCATTTCACGTAGGAAACTACTTACTCAATCCACTTCGCAGTAGAAAAATGTCAGGCTGCCGACCAGTGAGGGAAAATTGAGATGGCTCCCTAGTTAAAGTGCAGATTTACTAACCGAAAGGTTACTTATTCGAAAGCAACCTATGAATATCGGCTGGTCCTATCTAGGCTTGGGCGACCTGAGGGTATCTCAGTCCTAGTGCTTTCTGCGAGTGGTATTGTAGCTAAAATGTTGCAGCTGCATGGCTGGGATGAAAGAAAATCGGCTGTATGACAGGAGATTAAAAAAATTGCTTTCAGGCTCCAGTGGATCACAAAGTGTATGGTGTACGTTTGTGGCAATGTACCAAAGAGAAAAACCACGAAAATTGGTAAACAAAGCCAAATGACAATGTTGAGAGGGAATTTTGTCCCACTATTCTGGTAGTGTGTGATCGTGTTCTCAAGTGCTTGCGGAAGATTTTGATGAAGCAATAAATGAATCCAGCGAAGTTTTCTCACTTCGTTTTCTCCTAGAAAATTTGTGAGTACCTGAGTTTAGTCGACCCAAAGAATATTACACACGTCAAAAGTGACGGCATTCATTCACTACGAACTCAAGGCGTTTTCATCTCGTCAGTCACCTGGATAAAATCTCTCCAACACGTCATCTAGTGTACTTCCTGGTGTGTTTCTTTTTTCCTGGTAATCTACAAAATTCCATGGCAAAACTTCTTTCTAGTCCTCAAACAAATATAAACACATTTTGCCGGATCCACTTACCAGTTTGGGGAAGTGTGAAATTGATGGACGTACCCGGAGTAGAGTTCATTAGACCGATAGATGCACCTACAAAACCTTTGCCATAGCTCCTTTTGGTGAGATTCTGGAAACATTATTTTTCAAAAAATATTGCGTTCTCTTCTGATATAAATATAGTACTGCTTGTGCGAAATGCCTCGATTCTGAGCAGGAGTCTCCTTCTTCGGTGTTAGCTTAAGTAAAAGTAGTTCCCTGATTTGATTTTAAACAACTAAACTCCAGGAACTGATCGGTATTCATTATATACAGGGCTCTTGCAGGACCGACTGCTTTTTCTACTTGACTTAATCTTGTGTTTCGAACTAACCCCATTAGGATCTCTGTTCACCTCTAACTGCTTCATTGGAGAAGTTGCTTCTAATTTTTAAGCGAGTTGGAATTGCAAAAACCACCCAGAACGCCTTTCAGGATCATCCAAAAATTATCGTAAAAATATAAAACTGGGCAATTACCCTCCATCTTTGTTTGCTGATAGCAGGACCCAACCAACTTTCATCGACTTTCCAAGATATGCTTCTAAATAAACTTTTGTCGTACGCTGGCAGAACTGGAATCCACCTTGATCCTCCATCTTTGTTTGCTGATAGCATAACCCAACGAACTTTCATCGACTTTCCAGGATATGCTTCTAAATACACTTTTGTAGTACGCTGGCAGAACTGGAATCCACCTTGACTTGAAAGATTTCCCGTTTGTAGTCTCCGTTCAGGCCTTTGATCATCGGCACGTTCATATCAAATCATGGACTAGATCAGTAGAGTTTGGCCTCAGTGGACTCTTGAGGTGCGTGCATCCAAACACAAAATCGTTCAGCTGCAACACCCTTTCGATGCATTACTGCTATCCCATCCAGAGGAAGCACGAGGGCTGGAATACTGCCGAGATGCCAAGTCTCGACAGGGGAAGTCGACAGGAAGAGGTCAGGTTCAAACCGTGGACCTTCTGGTCGGTAAACTCTCACTCTAACCACTTAGCCATCTCGCCTTCACATCAAAACAACCTCCTTCGCCATTTTTTTCACAAGGATTTTAACTAAAAGTTGTGTGGCCGCGAGGCATATACGTTTAGCAGTGTCCCTTCGGTCATGGTGAACGTGATGGTGTAAAGGCCACTGAAATAGAACGTCCGGATAATCGCGTAGGGTATTTGAGTTTAGGGTGGTTTCAGAAATATTCTGCATGTAACTAGCTGCTGTCCATCAGACTGTGCACTCAAAAATCATGACGGCAGATAATATATCATGAAATGACATCACATACTGGGGGCGGCTACATCAGGCTCAAGACTGTGTTGTCTCTGCGTTCAACTGATTAGGGTCCAAGTGATTCTTCTTGTATTTGCCTGGAAGCTACAAAGGGAACGATACGTAACTGATTTTACTACTGAACTTTTTAGCCAGACTACGAAGCCCATCTTCAGGCTTTCGTAGCATATGTCGTCAAATAGGTCACCAATTTCCTCGCCTGAAGGTAGCACCGTCCATTAAAATTCACAAGTGTAATCTAGCGCAAAATGAAGGAATGATACTAGCGAAATATGGCATAGGCTAATTTCTCATACTACTTGCTCAATGCTTTCGAAGTTTCGGTGTTGAGATGGGCAATCCGCGGACACTAACGTTGTAATAGTTTGCATATTTTTGCAAGTTAGGTAAAATAAACGATAATCCGGCTTCTTGGGTGCGTTTTGTCATTCCTTACATATTTACAGTAAAGGTTTGCCAAGTGACACAATTTCAAAGCAGATATTGTTAGATCTACCGAAGTAAAATAATATCAATACTTTTCTTGACTCATTAGTTGGACGTGAATAAATCTGATTCCCCGGTGTTCAGATTAAAGATCCTAAGCAATCCTGTTGCGAGGCGATCGCGCTCTTCATTTGTGCCCTCAACATACCCGAAATCAGATAATCTTTTCCACTGTTCTTTTTCGCTTTGAGCACGGAAATCAGCTGGTCAAGACCCACTACGCTAGTTTTGTCAGTTATAGGCAGAAAGAAACGCGCAGTAGCTTGCTTCTTCGGGACGATCATCTTTTCCTTCCTTTGTATGCATTCCAAACTAGGGAATCTGTATTTATCGAGAAAAACCTTAAGTCGTACTGAACAATCCTTAATGGCCAGACTCTCAGCAAACTCGAGCCGCATAATAGATCAGGAAAAATCACATACAACAAATCATGAGATGCTCTTAAACAACGATAATACAATGCTCTGCCCCCATTTTCCCCTCACTTGGGGTCCAGCAAATAACATTAGGGTCCATTTATCTTTTGGTTAAATGAAGTTGCTGGTGCATTATTCGTTTTGTTTCGCAAATAAGGAATATAGCACAGTGCATAAGGTTAAATTTCTCGGTCGTAAATAGATAAGTACTCTCTGTGAAAAAGCTTACGGAAGGAGAACAGACCGAATACATCTCGTCTCTCAAAACCTGGAGTTTACTTTCCTCGTTTATTTTAAAGTTATGTCCAAGTAATTTAAGGCAGCTTTCAGGCTTATCTTTGCACAGTGTTAGTGAGCTTAGTGAGCCCTTCAAGTCCGGATGGCCGACTCTGAAATTCCGTGTACTTATTGGCAGGCTGTGCCCACTTTTTCTCACGCGCTTACAATCTAGTTGACTCAAGCCGTCTACACTACTTTGGGTTCAGGCTCAATTAAGCACATGAATAATGCTTGCGGTCATTTTTGAAACGAATGGGACTCTTCTATTGGAACAAATTGTTTTCTTGCTCACTGGCCTCCAGGGAACGATAAATTTCTCCATTCGGCCAGACTTACTGACAGCCCGCACGTGCCAGCTAGTGGAGGAAGACTCCGAAATCGATGCCTGCAGCTCGCTTCGCTGCATGTATGGCTGAGCATTCTTCCATGACAAATCGTTCCCATATATCATTCCGGAAGCAGATTGCCCCAGTCTTGTGGTCTGGATAACTGTGTTTTGGTTGACTCATATTACGGGACCGCTGCCCTTAAAATTCCAGGGCAAAGAAATACCGACAATTATTTATCACCTGCTCGTTCCTTTTTTGCTTTGGGCTAGAATATGTAATTAGAAGGACATATGGACTTGATATTGACGGAAGAAGTTGTAGAAAACATCTGTGACACGCCTGATATTCCACTTCAAAATGGTTTACATGCCTTCGTCTGAGCATACTTTCGATGGCCAATAAAAGTCTCGTATTCTGAGACTGCCTTACAATACGTTTCCCCTTAAATCCCAAGAAATCTTACGGGAAACGTCAATTTGTCCCGTAAGAAGATAAATAATGGAGGTGGGAGCACTTTCGAGGAAAGGTTAACCACTGACTAGCATCCCAGAGTCAATCCACCCTTCATTAGACTCTCTCCACCAGCGTAGTCCACACAACCGGTCATTACATATCACAACCGATATTTATTGTGTTCAATCATTTTGACATTTCCAACGTCTCAGCATCATTTTGGGGAAACCAAAACTGCGGTGGACCATGTCCACGTAGGATGTGTCAGTGTAGACCGACACACATCTCCAATGGTTTGGCTTTAGAGTGGACCAAAATCTTTCACTCGTGCAAGAAAATTTCCCTGTTTGTAAACAACCTTGGTTGCTCTTAAATGAGTCAGATGTGTTTTGTGCCACCAGAGTTTAGTTGAAGGGTACACGTAAGGTTCTAGTCATGTCCTTGTGATGACCGTTTAGTTTCACGAAAGTTTCTGTTTACATCTTTCATAAATTGGGTCTGTTCTACCTGGATGCATTGACTACAAATATATGAGGGTTGCCACATACAAAAAGGACATTTTTATTGATCCAGAGCTACTTGAAATTTTGGTGAACACCCTTCTGAAGCCCTTAAGTACCTCATTGATTAAATGTATTGTCGAAGTTAAGTTCAGGCCTATGTTGTATTGAAAGCCCAATTCATGTGCAGGTGAGAACATTTGGTAGTTTTAGGAATCCTTAATACTTGGCAACAACAGGATCGAAATGGTATGACAATGAGCCTTTCCAAAAACTACTCTTTTGAGTTTACTGATTTCACTGAATTGTCCCGTGGAGTTTTCTGTAATCATCCAGGTTCTGCGGGCGAAAACAGTAAATGCAAGATAAGTTCGGTTCACGTTTATTACTCATCACGGTGTGAAGGTTAACAGCACCTTAGCACTTCTAGTCTAGGGGCTGCCGTTCGAGGCCCATACTCTAACTAAGAGTTTACACTGGTTCAATTTTCATCTTTCTCTGTCTTAATCGTCACCGGAAAACTCTTTTTTCTTCTCTCTTTCCCAAAATTGCTTGAAAAAGAAAAGAGTTTAACTGATCGTCTCAAACTTCAAAGCTAAGCTTATCTTGTCTCTGTAAGGTTTCGAACCACCCACTACAGGCAAACAAATCGTCACCTCTGTGGATTTAAGTTTGTACGCATCACTGCATTAGGTACCAGCATATTTTTTTGGTCAACCAGCTGCAGACGCAATGATTGATGTTTTAGATTGATGTGGGATAAATTTCACCGGATAAATTTTGGATTATCACCCTTTTACGCACCTTAGCTTTCAAGATGTTTCGCAGTCTGCTTTTCCTGGCTATTCGTCCCAAACTATCAGTTCAAAGAGCAGAAATGGGGTCATTTTAACGAAATACACCCATTTGCAAACTAATTTGGTTTTTTTAGAGACTCACCTGGAGGGTCAATTTGTTTTAGCATGTGGAGCAACATAAACGCGTGTCCAATTCTACCATGCGGAAGCGTCTTATTGAGTCATTGGTGTCTGGAAGTAATCGGTTACTCGACCATACACAATGCACAACGAATCGGAAAAAAAAGCTCACTTGAAACTGACATCCAGAATTCATGAAAAAAAGCCGTCAAGATTTAGCGGGATTTCTTCGCTTTGGAGCCGAGCAGTGCATGAATCGTTTTGCCTGTCGGGAGAGGCTTGAGGCAACCCGATCAGACTACATTGTTCATTGTTTCACCGTGTTCCAGCGATAGGATTTATCCCCTCGTGTGTGATCTATCAAAATGTGACAGCCAAACTAATCTGGTCTGTTGCCTGCGCAGAATAGCCATTAGGAATATGTTTTTAATAATTAGGTATTCGTTATTCCACATCAACTGAACAGTGCAAATCTAGACATAATCGGCTATCGGCAAAACTCCTAACAGGTCCGCTATGTAGCTCCCATAAGGCACTGCTTAGTCAAAGTAAATAGAAATATTAAAGTGGACGAATTTGAGAAGTCATAGCAGAACCTGATGATAAGCAGGGGTTCAAACAGCATTTGGCGAAGAATGCCGTGGAAGGAGAAACCCCTCAGGAGCCGATAGGGCCGATGTTTGTGTATCTAGCCACAGGATATAACAAGGCGGATCCCTGTGATTCAGTCTTTTCAGTCAGTCTTTTCATTTTATATACCCACTAAACCCAAAGTAAAGGTGCACTAAATTTTTTTGGCTCCAATGTTTCGGTGCACATTTTTGCCTTGTAAAACGATTCAGTCCGTACTGCATGCTCCACGAAAGGTGCATAAGCGAACTTAGATTCAATCTATATCTACTGTAATGTACGGTAGTCCAAGCTCCAAGCTCTACGCATGAAGTGGTTCCATAATAGCCGCCTAGTCGCCTAACTCCCAAAATCTTGGAAGATGTGTGAATACTTCCATAAAAACTGTCATCACTAGGAGCCAAATTGTCCAGCTAGGGTAATACTGGCTAGAATAACGATCTCTCATTCTTCGACGAATTCATCAATTGTACAAGTCTTCTTCGGCGGTTTTCGATCCCGAAACCAATCATTCCAATATACTGACCAAACAGTCACCTCACTGACCATGTTTTACCAATCGACGAATGCAGAAGTGGATTGGAAGCCATCCGTCGCTAATCTCTTGGGCTACACTTAATTTTTTCTTCTAACTGACCTGAATTGCCCCGCAGCATTAACAGAATCGTAAAATTAATAAAGGCGAAGTTTTCGTAAAACGGAATTCATGGCTTCTCTACTTACCATTTCAGCGTTTTTGTGGTGTTTTTCACATATTAAGCGAGCTTCTTCGACCGTCTGGTAAGCAGAACACGAAATGCCGTCGTCCAATGTTACTGTATGGCTTTTTCGTAGAACTGTGGTTGTCGGAATTTTGAAATCTTTTTTCACCCTCTTTTATACCAGGAATGAACATAGGTTGCGACGGATAAAGCGAAATCCTGGGATGATCCTAACTGAATCTGGTGAGTGGCGACAGTTAGATATGCTTATTTTTTACCAGTCTTCTGTCACTCAAAAGATGATTATGTATAATATTTGTATCACTGGACTTATTCTGGAAAACATCACTTTCCTCCACCCTAGTTCAAGTTGTTATCATCACTTAGAATTTTTACAGAAATGTGCAAAGTTTTCTCACCACTAGGGTGATTCTGATTCAACTGCCTGTGTGCTATTCGTGTCAAAAGCTAGATGCCCCTAGTGACCTCTCCTCCTGACAAGTTGCTTGTGGATTGGCTAGACGAACTCCCCAGATGATTACAGACACCCAGGGTGAATTAGCGAACGAGGGCAGGAACCATAGGCCCAACAAATAAGGTCAGTTCATTTCAACCTATTTGAAGTTATGAATGAAGGGTTTTGGATGACTTAGTCGCAGCAATTTCAATTCACCCTTGTATCATAACACTTAACATTTATACAGGTCACCCGCATCTGTCGTTCATTCTCGACTGTGCTAGCAGTCTCCTGGCAAGTTGGCTGACAACAAAAACCACCAGCAGTTCACCAAGTGGCATACAATGATCGATGTGTGAAGTAATTGTTTGGCCAAATCACGTAAGAATATAGGTGATACAATCTAAGCATGTAATAGGGTGAAGGCGAACAATTAGCGGCCAGACACTTGCTTTGATATGACAATCTCCTGGGCTTGGATGAACCAACTTCATGTAAACCAATGTTTCACTGGAATGAAATATAGGGAATGTCTAGGGCCTGACCTTCTCATTTAGGATACCTTTTTGGCTTCTACACAACCATGTGCGCTATGCAAATAAGTGGGAGAAATGTGAAAGTTGCCAAGACAACCTAGTCCATTCGTTATGCCTGAGCTGACTCCTGATCACATTTAGAATCAAGATTCACGTCACTCCCTCCCCTGAGCAGACACTGAATTAATCTTCAGCAGAATTAGAGCCAAACATTCAATTTTATAGCTCCGTTCCAGTGAGATACTCTATATTCCAGAAGATAACAAAGTATGGTTTGTTGATTATTAGCAACATACGGCAAGGTTGTCTGTTAACCGTCAGTCAGTACGCAAAGGACCGAGTAACTCGTTTAAACCTTGAGGTTTCTAACCTCGAGGTCACATAAAGCGGAATCCGAAAATAATTCAGTTCAATTCAAGCCGGAACGCATTTTATGGCGCTTAAATTTGGTGGGTAAAGCTTGGAACAACGAAATCAAGGAAGGTCTTGAAAGAATGGTGAGCGATTTAATCACAAACAACTCAAAATTGTACGTCGTTTACATGAAAACTATTCAGATGATTTGAAACTATTTGGTTTAGAGCGGTTTTACAATCGGATAGTATGACTGGAAGGATTAGATGGTGGAAAACCTTATATGAATGTGTTAAATCCCTTACCCCCCTACAAATTTCCACCTGTTCTCTCAAAACTAGACAAAGTGTACCATTCCTATGTATCAGTTAAGTTCTCCAGGCTTCTAACTTTTTAAGATGTCGACAGTTATTCTATTTTGGAATGGATTATTCTTGGGCCGTAGCAAAGCTGGATTCATCGTGCCAAACGTAGCACCGTAGAGGCGTGACATAAAAGATTCCGTTAGAGCTAAATTATGTCTGAAAAGGCCGATACGCTTTAGCCTGTAGAACGTCGTCAGTAAACTTCCTGATTTGGATCGCACTGCTCCACCTTTGCAAGGAGTATCTTCAAAAGAAGATAAGAGGAAATGGTTGGTTGAGCGTTAGCAAAATGTCAAAGGTTGGTAGCCGAAGCTTTCGCTGAATTTGCAAACAACACGACTTCATAATTTTTTGTTACAAAGTGGAGCAGAGATTGCAGATGCGGAGTTGCTTTTACGTCGTATGAGCTTCAAATAAGCGAGGAATCATCCACAAAAGAGCAGTCGAAGTTTCGAGTCTTTCCTTTCAAGTCTGCTCCATAATCTGGGTTGGTCACTATCCGGTCAGTAGAAATAATATGAAAACAGTAGAACTTACATGCCTTTAAAACCAGGCCAATTTTTTAAGAAATAAAGGGACATGAAAAGTAGAAAAATGGTGAAATGCTAGCCCACTACCAACAAGCTTTATGTTAACATCTTCGAGCATTCTCTTAGACAATCCAGTTTGAAATGACAGCAGGAACGTCGACTCTATTTCGCCGGTGGTCATATATTTCAAGGCCCTCAGTCAAGCACAGGAAGAATAAGGTCGACGTTGTTCTACAGGGCAGACAGCATGAAGGGCACTTGAGTTCCTATCGAAATGCTCCAGAACAACGTCAACAGGATTCATAGATCCCAAATTTTTGGCCACTTTCTCAAAGATAAGTCAGTAGATAACGCCGCCTTTAAAATCACCGCCGCTGAGGAGACACTTCATGTTCCTCGAATGGGTCCTCTCGTGGGCCGAGAGTGATCTGCGTTTCAAAGCGCTGTGAATGTAAAGATGAGACAATGACCAGGCGATTCCACGTCGGTGAAGCTTGAATTTGTTCTCGTTTACATAGCTTGCGGTTCCAGTGCATCAAGCATGCAAAATTACAAAAGAAGTAAACCACCAGCATCAGCATCTTCCTCAGAGACAGCAGCAGCAGTGTCGACATTAATGCTCTACTCTCGCACGAAGTTCATCTAAATTTAAAGCCTTAGAATGACAAGAAGAGAAAAACATTGGGTAGGGAGGGACCCAATGCTAGAGTATGTCAAACACTCTGAGTTGCCTGCGACTCCAAGTGCTCAATCAGACAATCAGGAGACCATCAACACAAGTGCCACTTACATCAGTCAGCCGCCATTTCTTACAATGTCTTCGGTCAATCGTGAGCGGGGCTATGGGGACCACATCCTGGAAAGTGCACTGAACCAAGAACACTCAGACTGCTCGCCGTCTTTTTCACGCTCTTCTGCACACACACACACACACACTGTGTACTTCACGGTCTCCGCCATTCGATAGGAGGCATGGAGAACAACGACTATCTCACTGGACGGTGTTTTGGCATGCGTAGATCATGGTTGAGTCATTGTGGTTGTTGGTGCTGCATGTTTTCCGTGATGTACAGCCGAATACCCGTTTCTAATCACCCCGTTACGGGTGTGTTGACAACTTCCATAACTAGGTCCGCCTCTAAGGTGGTCCCAAACCCGAAGACACCTCAAATTGACCGTCCAAAGAGGCCATTTTTCGCAACCATAACACAATACAGCCCTCAATGTAACCTGCTACATTAGATAACTGAGAACATTAAATGATTAGTTGGCGCCACAATTGACGCCAATTTGCAAACATGATTTGGGTCTTTAAGATTCCTGCATTTATTTTATCAGACACTCGTCAGAGCTGATATGATTGCCGAGGTGTGTAAAGTTATTTACAACCTCCAATGGTTGTCCTTAAATTGTAGGTGTGTTCCGAAACATCACGTTTTGAAGCAGGACTTTGAACTTCGGAGATACAAGGCGCATGCCAAAAGATGGTACGATGATGGCCAGTCCAAGGAATAGAGCTCGTGCTTCTTCTTGGCCTTCAAAGGTGAGGGCGATGTTGTCTGCACACGTCAGCTGTATCGATTAGATTCTCGCCAGCAGCAATTCGAACACCGGGGTTTTGAAGTCCTTTCAGTGTTCAGCTAAATATCTCATCAAAGACAGTTGAACAAGGACGAAAAGAGAAGATATCCTTATCGGACATTGCTTTTAGGAAAGCTTTTGGAGAGCTCACCGTACACGCCCACCCTCCCAAAAGTATGTAAACATAGGCATCGGATTGTGTTTACACATTTCTGGAACACACCCTGTTGAGGAAGTGTGGTTAATGGCAGTGACCGATCGACAGAACCAAACGCACCCTTGAAATCAAGGTACACCATTATTGTGCGTCGTCTATACATGTGGCACTGTTGTAACACCTTACGGATTTTGAAGTTGTGGTCAGAGCAAACCACACCCGGTCGAAATCCTGCCTAATTTTCACGGGTCAAGGTTTCCCCTGCCACCGTAAATGACGGAGGGCCAGTGATGTTAGAAGCCTTGTCACAAAAAGAAGTTCCAATTCTGAGTAGCACTTTACACGTATTTTGTCGGTAACCGTTCATGTCCGACATCGAACCATCCGGGAGGCGTTCAAGAAGCCAGTTCTGAGAGTTTCCTTGAATTTCTGTGTTCACTCGCTTTTCAATGGTCAAGCAAGTTGTGCGCATTTTCCGTAGTCCTGAAAAGCGCAATTAAAAGCAACAGTGTACAAGTGCGTGAGTGAAGTCCACGCTGATAGTCCAGGAAGAACTCCAGGCGGCGATTGACCCTTGCCATCGATAACTGATAGCAATATGCTCTAGATGGATTCATGGCTGGTTTGTTGGTGGGTACCACGTCGTCAAAAGATTTACACCGTTCCTTAAGTTACCACTGAAAAGGAACAGACTCTGGCTGGCACACATCTGAAGCAGGCGCCACCTGTTGTCCATGCGTCCCGTATGCAACACAAGATGACCACCTCAGCAACGCTTGGGAGTTCATGTCAACAACAACAACAACAACAACAACAACAACAACAACAACAACAACAACAACAACAACAACAACAACAACAACAACAACAACAACAACAACAACAACAACAACAACAACAACAACAACAACAACAACAACAACAACAACAACAACAACAACAACAACAACAACAACAACAACAACAACAACAACAACAACAACAACAACAACAACAACAACAACAACAACAACAACAACAACAACAACAACAACAACAACAACAACAACAACAACAACAACAACAACAACAACAACAACAACAACAACAACAACAACAACAACAACAACAACAACAACAACAACAACAACAACAACAACAACAACAACAACAACAACAACAACAACAACAACAACAACAACAACAACAACAACAACAACAACAACAACAACAACAACAACAACAACAACAACAACAACAACAACAACAACAACAACAACAACAACAACAACAACAACAACAACAACAACAACAACAACAACAACAACAACAACAACAACAACAACAACAACAACAACAACAACAACAACAACAACAACAACAACAACAACAACAACAACAACAACAACAACAACAACAACAACAACAACAACAACAACAACAACAACAACAACAACAACAACAACAACAACAACAACAACAACAACAACAACAACAACAACAACAACAACAACAACAACAACAACAACAACAACAACAACAACAACAACAACAACAACAACAACAACAACAACAACAACAACAACAACAACAACAACAACAACAACAACAACAACAACAACGGTGTCTGAGCTTCAGAGCTACAGTCCCTTGGGGAAGTGGGAGAACCCAATAAACAGGATGAAGTGAACCTCACTTCTTCGAGATCCTTTCACAGACGTTGCCAAACGAACCGCGCAGAGACGACCATTACCGGGTATCCGCTCAGTCGCTCAGTGCATTACCTACCCAGCATGTCCAGCTGCAGCGGCCTGTGTCACCATAGATTCGTAGGCGGAACCCGAACAAGAACGAGGGGGCATTCAGATCAATTGCAGTACTTGCCTCCTGTCTGTTACAGATAGCACATATCAATGCAAAGGGCATTCGGCCTATGAACAAGAACCTCAAGTCGTCCAGTTTGCTTCATTGTGCGATCATTAGGGGATGTAAAGTAAACAGACAATTTTGGGGATCCGAAAACGGACTTCGAAGTGCACAGAGTGGTTACTGATCCCGGACGTGAAGAAGCTGCAGCTGAGTGTGTTACAGGGCTAGAACCATAGTCAGTCCTGGCACTGGGACCTGCGGACGGAGGGATAGGTTATAAGAGGAAAAACTTGAAAGTGTAAGGAGGGTGGCGTCAGCAGCAATGTGTTTTCGCTTACAAGTAAGGCGACCTGGCTGGTGACAGCACGCGATGGCGGACGTGGCAAGAGAGCAATTTTAGTTGTCATGATTTCACATCGGCTACTATACCGCCAGAGTGCCCGGACCTAGACAGGAGGACGACTGCGGTCCTAAAACAAAGGCTTTGTCTCAAAACCTGAACACGAGACAGCGGTATTTAGCAAGAAATTGGAGTGTGTTGTCATTTTTGTAGAAGTCACAACACATGTCTTTGCCAACCTAGAGGGCCAGGAGACTGTATTTTCCAGACCTCTGACCAGTGAGCAACCTGGTATTGGAGTCTCTGTTAGTGTCGCAGGGACACCATCCAGTATTGCTCAGTGGGTCACGAAGGCACGTAAACCGTCTCACCACTTTAATGTCCAGTGGTCTCATGACAATATCACATGGTAAAAGTCCAGAGTTGGAATCCCGACGTTGCCGACGGTGTTGAGTACTTGAAATGTCCAAATGGAGTGAAAATGTAGTCGAGTGCTTCTTCTCTTACCCACTTGTTGTGAACAACCCAGAATCATAGCCCAAGAAAGAGGAAGAAACTATTCAGACAAGAGTGAAAATTCGTCAGCTGCTTTGAATCAAGACCTGACTGTCAGACTGCAAATCACACCGTGACTGGCGTTTTCTCTCCATGTGCACGGTGGTGCTATTCACCGCACGTGTTTTAGTTTGCGTTAACACTAAACAGAAAGTCATTCGCAATTATTAGTGAATGTGCCCGTTTGAGTTCTCATGACATCCTTACTGACACCGCCTACGTGCACATACCGTGGAATTTGAGCACCCAAGCGATTCCCATCGAGTCAGACGCACAGCATCCGGTGTTGTTGGGTTTTGGGAGACCACCAGAAGTTTGTCACAAACTAATAACAATTCCTTCAGTTTCACATGTACCCATACGTCAGGAAGTGGACGAGGTCTGTAGTGGTATTTGACGGACGAATGGGTTTTTGAGAACACCCACTCATTGTACCAAGTTTGAGTTCGGTAGGCCAGTCATTCTGTCTCCGGCTGTCACAGCATTTGGCCATTCTATCTGTTGCTGTTCTCTCGAGGGACTTGTGATGTTTGTAGACAGCAAACATGTTTTTCATTTCTGAAGAGAAGTTGACCGGTAGCCAGACAGAAAACCGACAGTTGAACTACTTGTGAAAGTCAAAAACACTACCGTAACACGGTCTTTTTTAGCAATTATTGAACATGTGGTCAGCAGTGACTTGAACTTTCAAAATAATTTTCGGATTTATTTGCGTCATGGGCCTGTCTAAGTTGGAAGCTCGAGGGATTAAATTCAACTGAATCTTCTGCAGTCGGGTTTTTTTAAGGTAGATTTGAATCCTCTTTATTTTTCCTCTAAGTAGTGTAGACAGCTGCAAGGATTGTTGACGCACAAATCAGCAGAAATCATAGTATTCTCTCATAGAAAATATTGTCCCCAATTTTTGGTCATCGCATCGATTTCCAACTGCCCCTGAAAATAACATGACTTTGCTGTTTTTGAGCCCGATTTCCGAAGAAAATTGACGTTTCCAATCCACAGCAAATTGATTCTTGGACAAAATACATGTCCAAATCACCATTTGTCATACTCACACCCGGTTAAATGGCCCGTTATGTCGCCGATTGCACAAGCAACCACACGCCTATCCGGAAACACGTATGATAAATAGCCTGCCAAGAAATATTACGTACAAGACACAACAATATAATAATGGTTGTCAGCCCTGCAATGGATAATGTTTTACCCAGTTGCACTGGCATTTTTCTTCGAGTGGTGTTTTGAGTGGTGTTGGTATTGGGAGCAATGACTATAAATTTGTCCTCAACAGGTCCTTACTTACAAACGAACCATCGTCTGACACAACCTAAAAATCTGCAGATTATTCCATTTCACTTTGGATCATTCAATATTTCTTGGGAAATGGAGTCCGAAGCTGAACGGTGGATTAGTCACTATGAGTAAGTCGTTTTCTTTGGATTCACTCTCCTTGTTGGGTTAAAGTCGAACGTCTACACTGAGATCAGCTCGAGAATCAAGACAGTAAACCGTTTACAGAGCATGCTACCCTACAACTATTTACTCTGTCGTAAATCAGTTACGAGATACATATCCTCTTTGGTAAATTCGGCTTTTTCCCACTTGACAATGAATGCGCATCCTTTACGTACGAAAACAGAATTTAAGACACGGACGTTGAAACCCGGCCTTCCTTATTTAGTTTGAATTTGTGCCGAACATTTGGAAAGACCCTCTCTAGGTACTTTCCGGATCTGAATAACAGAAACTCCTGGTCCAATGTTTCGGACGAATTTTGTGGTCGCACGCAATTTTCAAATCATTTATAGTTGACCCCGACGCAGTGTCCGGCATAGAGTCTGTCGTTTGTGGGGGTGGGTGGTTGTGGAAACATCGACTCACGTATGGTGTGAGTCTCAGTTCATTTCCTTACGTCTAAAAAACTCGCGAGACCTTTGCAAATTGTTCTTTTGTTTTCCGTCTAGTAATTTACTTGAAGCTGACATCTGCCATGCAAGAAACCACAAGTCCACTATTTCGAGCATCAATGATTCACACAGCTGAATGATTTTTGATTTTGTTAGATGGATAGGACAACAGAACAATCTTCTAAGGCCACATTGAAACTGAGAAAGGGAATCGGCACATCATTTCAGATTAATCCTGCAGGGGTGTTTTTACACTAAATTTCTTGTGTTTTTGTAAAAGCATCCTCTGCTAACATGTGGTCACATCTTGCCTCTTTACAGGCTCGTACTTCTGAACCTCGGAGAAGTCCCCTCCAAGGAAGAACAGTTACGCTGCGGTGCGTTTCTTCAAGCCCATAACCTGACAGATGGGTCTCCTATTACACAGGGCGGCAGTATACATGATCGACAATTATCCATTAATGTTACTGCTCCGGCTTCATCAGTTATCATCACTGGGTTGCCCCCGGACAATTTCTACCGAGTCCTCTTGTTTGCGATGATTGGATCCCATCGTAGCACACCTGCATCGATGCCTTCCTCTCCGAGAGTTCCCGCCCTTCCACCTTTGACGTCACCTACTGAGGTAAGTTTAATACAAACCTCTTGCTCACACTCCATCAGAAATCAGTTCGTTTTGTCTGCACTCACCCTCGATCCTTATAATAGGGGTCATCAGTCCTCCTTCTTTTAACTGAGGAATTCAACATGACTGAAGTTGACAATTCTGATTCCCAACTGCCGAGCGCGGGGATCAAACCAACATTCAGACAGTGCATCCTAGCTGCTTTCCATAGTTACGTCACAGAAAGCGACTATTTAACTGTTGAAAGGTCAAACTCGGTCAAGATTTCTGAGATCAAGATCGATAAGGTTTGCAATTCACGCCATTTTGGATCAGATTGAAGGCATTTTCTTATCGTTACCCAAAATGGGGCTGGGATGATAAGGTGACGTTTTCCGCACGTAATGATCTTTTAAATTGCGGCTGTCATGTTGTCATCACTTGTCTGTTCTTCCTATTTCATTTACATATCGCATTTATCTGGAACTTTGTCACAAAGAAACCTTGTCAGTTCGGCATGAAACGGTTATTTCTAATTCCAGGTCAAGGTTACTTCTCGTGGGACACAAGCCGCAAAAGTGGCCTGGAGACCACCGGTTGGAGCCGACTGTACCGGAGAATTGATCAATTACGTGATAACCATCAATTCCACACGTTTAATCGAACCGCTCATCATCAAACTGGCCAGGGATGCTCAGAGCCATGTGGTTAGCGGTAAGTGGGATTGAGATTTATTACCTAAACCACAGTTAAATTTTTACCGGTGCGATTGCTATTCCATCGGTCAGCCACGGAGCTGTATTGCGCCACCCGTTCCATGCTTTCTGTTTTTATATGATATGAAAAAAGATCGACATTTTTTCTACAGCTTCTGAAAGGCTAGACCTTGTTTGGAGTATGTATGACTGACGCTCTAACTGCACTGAGCTCTATTTTTACATTCATGAACTATATTGCGGCTTCCACTCCGGACCGGCTTCACTCATGGATTCAAGCTTCTGTATTTGCTGGTAATTTTAGCATTATTAGAAACAATATAATGTGCAGGTATGCTCACCGAAACCTACATGTGTTGAGTCAACTAAGTCAGCAAACGTTTTCGCCCACATACACTGGCCTCCTACTAATAGTAAAGTGATTTCGCGTGCGACGATTCGTTTCTGACAGAGGCACAGTAGCTCAGCGTGTCGTCAAGTCTTCAGACGGCTGCAGTCATTCTCTGTTCCTTCCATATCATGTTTACATGAGGCGATGCGTGGCTGGACGGGTGTACGTGGGAATTTGCCAATATATCCCGGTGTGGATGGTACTTGTATTCCCATCATGTCTGTGGCTTTTGACAGCGCTAGCTTGTGCGGGTATGCCGTTGCTATGACAACTTCCTGATGCGTTTTCCTTTCGATCTTTTTGGCACACCAGGAAATTATGGCAAGATGATTAAGCTGGCCTCTGGGGGGAAGGTCCGAAGTCTTCTGAATGTGTACTTTACCTTCCCCATAGATCATAACGTGTCTCGTTATTTGGAAACTTCTAAGCAGACGAATGTCGATTAGAAGGTAGCTGTGTTATACTCATTTCCTGGTTTGAGATGCACAAGTGTTGGCTCGTTTTTCACGAGCATCGCTGTTTATTATTTACTCTGATTGGCATCAACAAAATACTTGCTTTCCAACGATGTATCTTCGGTGTTCATTTTTGCCAGGAGGCGGAGGAAAACTACGTATGGTTAAGGTGTATAAACTGAGTGCTCTAGGTTCTTCGCTGATCGTTACTGCACAGTGCAGCCCAGGATGTATATGTTGGAAGATTTCTTGGCATAGGAGCATGCACTAGTTACAAATTGCTCAAATCTAATCGAGCTCTGAAAGGAAATTAGTTAAAAATTCCAGAAATTTTCCTTAACAGGACATTTAACCATTCAAAAGGGCTTAACTTAGAAATGGGGCGTTCCATGTGGAAGGCTTTCCCGGGTCAGAGTAATTTGTTTTTTTGATTGAACTTGCAAAAACACTGCTCCAATTACGTTTTCCTCGCTCATGGTTATAGCGTCGCATTTACCCTGCCCTACACGTGTCTATTCACTAAGCACACCCAAACTAACCAGCCAAACGCGTGACCTTGGGTGTGCTGAATTATTGGCTTATTTTTGTTGCTTTGTATGAATGACTACGCCAGCACTTCTGTTTTTCACATACACTGCGACAAAATGCACGCGGACGTTTGTCACTAGTATGCAGATGAAATTGCATCGAGATTTCTTATGGAGATCTGACTGATCTGATCTGGTCAGTTACTTCATTTGTCACTATCACTGAAGGCTCTGTGCGGCCTTTCCACAACAATTCAGCTTGCGGCGAGCTTTCTCATTATGTCGCTCATCTGTATTTTGCATCAAGAACCACATCATTGCAAAATACCCAATCGATATTGTCTGAAGTGAAAATGTTTCTGTCTGATTTGATAAGAGTCATAAATGTCCAATCCTATGTGGATCGATGTGAGATGAGCTAGGATCAGACTGATAAGCTCCACTTCTGGATAACGTCACTTGAGGTTAAGTGTCTATCTAGCCTACTTTAGCCTCTTATGTTCACAGGATTTCCTTCTAGAATAACTAAAGCTGTTGCCTTACTTTCTACAACAGATGTACAGCTGATGTAGTCCAGTATGATCGCCTGATTTCAGCAGGCAATCGGTTTTTATGCAGCGCAGTGCAAGAAATTGTATGCTACTTACGCCGGCGAATATGGAACAGCTCAGAGTCAGTCGAACTCTTATCCCCTTGCCTTAATATTTGAAAATACGTAAACCATCCTACATTTTGTTGTAGAGATGGCTTGAATCGAACCGCAAAATGAGCTCTACTCAATAAATCTAGTTAGATCCTGCTGTGAATGTATGTGCCTACTATAATCAGAAAAAATTTGAGGTCAAATTTAAGCTATTTTTGTCTTTTTAGACCTGATTCCTGGTACGTACTACTCCGTGCAAGTGGCGGCAACCACGAGAGGTGGTGTTGGTCTGGCCTCAGTACCAGTCCACTTCCGTACGGGAGGCGAGCTGCCTCGAGTTGAATTGGATGATCTTGATGAGGTTGAAGTTCCACTTCTTCCGGAAGAATTAGAAGAGATGGCTAATGAGAACAGACAGTACTTCGAAGGTGGGCTTGCCAGGTCCCATTGGATCTCAACGGGTCAGGATGCACTCGGACCGGATCAGGTCTACTTGATTCCCGCCAAAGTATGTCCCAAAATTTATTTGCACTTCGTTTGGAGAACAGTTTTCCATTGGCTAGTTGCTCATGAGTAGCTGAGCATAGCATGGCCTTTTTGTGTAAACTGTCTGTAATCGGGTTTCTTTCCTTCCTTCTTTCCTTACACACACAGCCACTGCCGAGCTGCCTGAGTTGAATTGGATGATCTTGATGAGGTTGAAGTTCCACTTCTTCCGGAAGAATTAGAAGAGATGGCTAATGAGAACAGACAGTACTTCGAAGGTGGGCTTGCCAGGTCCCATTGGATCTCAACGGGTCAGGATGCACTCGGACCGGATCAGGTCTACTTGATTCCCGCCAAAGTATGTCCCAAAATTTATTTGCACTTCGTTTGGAGAACAGTTTTCCATTGGCTAGTTGCTCATGAGTAGCTGAGCATAGCATGGCCTTTTTGTGTAAACTGTCTGTAATCGGGTTTCTTTCCTTCCTTCTTTCCTTACACACACAGCCACTGCCGTTGTTGCGTCTGACTGTTACCCTCCTATTGGTCCATCTAGAATGCAAAAACTCACTCGAAGGTGGGCATGCGGACACCAACTCTGACTATAATAAGGAAATCAGACAAACGAACGACCGCGTCACTTCAGGCATATTGTACATGATCCCCCACTGTTTTTTAGTTAGGAAAAGGAATTCTCGGGGAACCTAACATGCCCAGTGAACATAAGAATTCTAGTATAGAGCACAATTTACAAGCCAGTACCAAGTATATCACCTCAGTTGTTTAGGTGAGGTGTTGTAATAAGAACAAGGTACGATAGCTGACGTGTTCGTTGCCGGGCAGACAAGCGCGTACGCATTTGTATCGTTCTCTCAGAACAACTAGTTGCGGGGTTTTTCTTCCGCAAATGTTGCGCCACTTGTACGAAACCATCCACAAACCTAACATGCCCAGTGAACATAAGAATTCTAGTATAGAGCACAATTTACAAGCCAGTACCAAGTATATCACCTCAGTTGTTTAGGTGAGGTGTTGTAATAAGAACAAGGTACGATAGCTGACGTGTTCGTTGCCGGGCAGACAAGCGCGTACGCATTTGTATCGTTCTCTCAGAACAACTAGTTGCGGGGTTTTTCTTCCGCAAATGTTGCGCCACTTGTACGAAACCATCCACATTAATGAATTTGTCCCTCATAAAATTGCTGAGAACCCTTGGATAGCCCATTACCGGTTTTGTTCTCCTCGGAGCTACTCAGGTAGGTACAGTCCCCAAGTTTCCCTCAACCTTGTGTCGTACTTGAACCCAAATCCCACGGACTTGACGAAATCCATTCATTTGCGTTTGGTCTATACAAGGAATCTCTTGTTTTTGATGTTCTTCTCCAACTGAATCTACTGCACCAGGTCACTTCATGTTTCAGTTGGTTTCAAAAAATGGCTAAAAATGACATTTGTACACATGTGCCCGGTATTTCACACTGCATAACACTACCTATATTAATTTAAGTAGAGAAAATAGTATCAGACTGATTTAAAAATTGATATAGTCCTAAATATGTCACAAATAAGAAAGATATGAAAGTACCAAATTGCACAGATCGAATCAAGATGGGCGAGAAATAGACAGGTGTGTCAACTGACAAAGTCGGTTGTTTACTCCCGGTTCGCTTTCGCCTAAATTGTGAAGGGTGGGACAGTAAGAACGATTGGGGACCTAACCTGGCCACGGAGAGACACGCATTGTTTATGGGAAAATTACAGCGCGTTTGGTGGACACCTGTTTATCGCTGGTGTATCTGGTCTGGATCGATGAGATTTTTCTCAGCTGTGGGAAAATTTTCAACTGTTTTCACAAGTGCACACAGCTTACTCTGTTCTCTGGGTGCAGCTGCACATCCACCTTACATTACTGTTGGTCATACTTCCAAGGGAGGTGTAGTGCGTTTGGAACCGGACAGAATTTGTGTCCAGCTCTGGCGAAGCCTAATGTCGATCGGAGCAGTACATTGCACCAGTTGTGCGCACAGTGACTGAACTCGAATCTATGGTGTAATCACTGATAATATCTAACTGATTAGTGAATAGTTTGTCTCACAACTTGTGAGCAAGAAGGGTTGAGGGGCGAATAAGGGCTGTGCAGTTATTTCAACCATAGAGGGAAGCGCCGCTGTTGTCCAACACTCAGGCTTTCAATCGGTTAATAATTAGGCCACTGATGGCCTTCTAATACCTTCATTTTCAAGGTACTCACTATGCAGGATGTATTGCTCGACTGTGCAGTATACATACACCAGTTCAGTTTCATGAATACGGGCAGAGCTGAAATGATAAGGAACCATCGTAATTGGGTTGGAGAATACACGTTTAAAAGTAATCATAATAGCTTCGTTAGAATCATCTACCCGTCGAACATAGACCTTCTTCAGTGGTCCAGTCAAATTGTGTACTCGTACGCGTTTAGGTGTGCTGAGTTAGGAGTGTACAGGTCAGCTCCAAAAGTGGCAGTTCTTTTTCGGCAACACCCACACCACTCGCCCCGAGATAAATTAAAACGGAATGTGTGCAACAGTCTTTAGTTCATCCATTTAGATAAAAGGGTAAGGATAAACCGTTGTTTGAAGTCAGTATCACGCTGGCCGCCGTATTGAAAACAGTGAAAATCACTTATATTTGGAGGTACGGGGATGGATCGCAGTTGATCGTATCATGAGCTGCACAAGACTGAGTGTTGAATCCAAGTGGAGAAGATAGTTTGCGTCAAAAACTTGTGTGCTCACAAACTGTCATATTGGTGAATGAACAGAATGCCCTCACCGAACGCTAAATATTTGAGGCTGGTGCAAATTTGAACGTTATTTCTGAGACAATCCTGTGCTCGATGGTTGCTTTATGTCTCATACAAGTGGGATGGATTTCTGGGCTCATCGTGCATATCGGCCGTTGGCTAATTTTCGTACTAGACTCAATCACCTAGGTGAATATTCCAAGTCACGTTCGCACATTTTGTGTCACCCTTGCTAGTGCTAACTTTACGGAAGCCACCTGTAAACTGATATTGAACCTATGGGACAGAAACACTGAGCATATTGAGGATTCCACGTTGTACACTGAATGAGCCACAAATTACGCCCGATTATGGCTATAAGTTGGGGTTGAAAAACTGTGAACTAATATATTCTTCCGCATTCTACTAAGATAGAACTGTCCTCCTCTCATCGCGCACGTTTTTATTCCCATCTTGTTTTTCGTGTGTCGTGAACTTTACTGATTCTCTGGGAGTAGCCGCTGTACATAACCAGATTCCTCCGAAACTCCTCTCCTTCTCCGAGGTGGTTACATGCAATACTTCTTCAAGCGGAACAGAAAAAATCGTTTTCTGGGTCTTTTTAGAGACCTTGCGAGGAAAAGTAACTGCACTGACGACGCACAGCTGTTTCGGGATTTGCTCTCCTAAGTGTTCTAACGGAGCGGAAAAATTGATATTGAATACTGTATCCCACGGTACCGTACTACGAACCAGCTAGATTGTACATATGGGCGTCCAGAATAAAAGCCTTCATGTACTTAGGAACATGCACAAAATTTCCAGCTTTTATTCCAAGTGTTCATTTTGTTTGGTTGCTCTAGACGCATTTGTAAATCTGCGATCCTCAGGAATCGTTTGGGATGAAAGTGACACTTAGTGGGAAACTTGTCTGCTAGGCACGGCAACTGCGCCCAAACGACTACGAATCTAGAAGAAAGGGAGCCCGTACTTTGCAGAATCTTCTTTTTTAACAATTAGAATTCCAGTTCATGTACATCTGTGACTATATTGGTACAGGTGGGAGTGAGTATATCAACGTGAACAAAATCAGAATATTTGCCCCATACTTGACCAGGATGAACCGTCATTCAGCCGGCAGAGTGCGAGATCAGGTCTCCACAAAATCCCTCCAAACTTTGTGCGATACCTATTCTAACCACCAAGACCCTCGTGGTTTTTGAGAGGCACTGTTCAACGTTCCAATCTGCAGTGATGAACAAAGGCTTAAGTGGTGTTACGTCGGTTCTGCCCCAGCTTATGGGCACAAGGATCCTTGACACAAACACCTTACCTGGGAGTAAATACCTGGATCAGCTGATAGCACGACAGGATTTGTTTCATTTTTTCGCTTCTAATATTTTCACGTTGATGGGTTTTAGCGTTGCAATATGCTGCAGACAAATTGCAATCTCGACTTGTAATTTTATTCTAATGGTTTAGTGGATGGGTTTTCCCATAACTAGGTTGGTATATGATAGATCTGCTCTCCATTCGAGCAACGGTTTTAAATTTCACCTACCTTACAACCGGCAGATTATTAAGGAAAGAAAAATTTCCTCGCAGTGAAGAAATTCAATTTAGCATCATATCTTCAATCGGCTCTTTTTTCAGGCCAGTGGTTATCGCAGCGGCCTTACTTCAGTTATTGTTCAGTTATGTATTTCGCGCTCCTCTGACAGCAATCACAGAGCTTGAATACGTTGGGATACCTTCGACAAACTTCTTTATTTCTGATGAATTTCAACTCTGAACGCTTGCACTGGTGTCGCACACATCTGAATAGCTGATGTGAATGTTCAGACCAATTAACTGCTTTCGTCTCATACAAAAGATGGGTATCAACAGATTATTCGGTCGTTAAATTATTCAAGCAGTCCAAATAAAACAATGTCGTCTAATTGATGTTCTCACAGATTAATGGTGAACGTTGATCTCATTTGTCCGGTTTCCCGAAGTTACGGGTCAAGCACCCGGTTCTGGACAAACATCCGTATTTGCTCAGCCAAAAACCTAAGACCACCAATATCGTCCACCTATATCTTCGTGTTTTCAGCATCCTTCTGCTTGGTTTTACAACAGTACAGCTGGTTTGAATACCTCCTCCCTTGCGACATAGGATCTGGGGCGTGGGTAGACCATCTATACGTACCAATCTATGATTCAGTTTACACTGACAGATTGCTATATGTATATGCAGTGGACACTAAGGACAAATGAAACCAGTGGAGGGATAATTCGAAATCGGTTTGTAGAAGACCTTCTGATAGCCACTTCATATTTCATAGAGTAAGAACTAAATACTATGTCAAGAAAGAGCCGGATGCCGGATGGGGTTTGATTACTAGGATCCATGATTCATCGGCATCGTGGTACAGGTGAAAGGAATAAGTCATCTTTTACTGGAAAACACCAACTGAACAGTGAGACCATTAGACAGGGAAGCAAAAGTCCCACATGAATCTTGTTTGTAAAACTGTGTCCATCTTCTTCTAGAACGCGTCTTCCTGAACTCACACGGACACTCATTGACTATCGCTCAAACGTAAACGAATTCTACAAAGCGATTCCCTAAAATCTGTAATAAATCTCAATAGACGCGAACCGGATTTACTGAAACCACATACTACTCGCCCGCCTCATCAGTAGCATCCACCGTTACACTGATATGAAAGCAGTGGAAAAAAAGTTCACCAAGCATTTCTTCATTTATGCCTTGAAGACGGTTGTGTTCGTCGGACTCGTAGTTGATTTTATGTGGCATTATATGGGTCACTCAACAATATATTTTGACCAACAATCCTTTTTCAGAAAATATTTCAAAAAAACACATTTAGACTACCTTATATGCCTTATGCTTATGTCTTTTTACAGAGCATATTAAACACCTTTATTCCTGAGCGATAAAAAAGGGAATCTCTAATTTTTTGCTAAAAAGCAACTGTCACATCTGGAAATATATAACCCTCAAATTCAGCTCATTTCTTCGGGCCGACAGTGGGCACGTTTCAAACGAGAACACGTTGCCAAACAAAGCAGATTACATGCAACACCAGCGCTTGAATCGTACTCATTACCCTTCTCAAATGCACCTTCAATCGTGAAAACTTTTAAATGTTTTTTCTCCCTTCAAAGATATACAACTTACGGGCGACGCCTGATCAGACAACCATACATCTTAAATGGTCAGTTGCCCTCCGTCGTGTGGACCCAGATTCTGAACATGAACTATTCAGTATTATGGATCTAGACAAACGGCCACAAACGATGACGTCTGACCAGAATCGCCCGCTACGCGTGCAACTTTCTGGACCGCAGTCTGTCACGGCCTATTTGCCTCCAGGCACAAAATACATCATTCGCTGGGGCGACATGCACCCCGGACCATCGGAAGACACAGTGATGGGAGATCAGGCAGAATACTTGATAGAAAATTTGCGTACGTCTCAAACTCTCGTTTCTTCGAGATGTATATGCAGTGGACACTAAGGACAAATGAAACCAGTGGAGGGATAATTCGAAATCGGTTTGTAGAAGACCTTCTGATAGCCACTTCATATTTCATAGAGTAAGAACTAAATACTATGTCAAGAAAGAGCCGGATGCCGGATGGGGTTTGATTACTAGGATCCATGATTCATCGGCATCGTGGTACAGGTGAAAGGAATAAGTCATCTTTTACTGGAAAACACCAACTGAACAGTGAGACCATTAGACAGGGAAGCAAAAGTCCCACATGAATCTTGTTTGTAAAACTGTGTCCATCTTCTTCTAGAACGCGTCTTCCTGAACTCACACGGACACTCATTGACTATCGCTCAAACGTAAACGAATTCTACAAAGCGATTCCCTAAAATCTGTAATAAATCTCAATAGACGCGAACCGGATTTACTGAAACCACATACTACTCGCCCGCCTCATCAGTAGCATCCACCGTTACACTGATATGAAAGCAGTGGAAAAAAAGTTCACCAAGCATTTCTTCATTTATGCCTTGAAGACGGTTGTGTTCGTCGGACTCGTAGTTGATTTTATGTGGCATTATATGGGTCACTCAACAATATATTTTGACCAACAATCCTTTTTCAGAAAATATTTCAAAAAAACACATTTAGACTACCTTATATGCCTTATGCTTATGTCTTTTTACAGAGCATATTAAACACCTTTATTCCTGAGCGATAAAAAAGGGAATCTCTAATTTTTTGCTAAAAAGCAACTGTCACATCTGGAAATATATAACCCTCAAATTCAGCTCATTTCTTCGGGCCGACAGTGGGCACGTTTCAAACGAGAACACGTTGCCAAACAAAGCAGATTACATGCAACACCAGCGCTTGAATCGTACTCATTACCCTTCTCAAATGCACCTTCAATCGTGAAAACTTTTAAATGTTTTTTCTCCCTTCAAAGATATACAACTTACGGGCGACGCCTGATCAGACAACCATACATCTTAAATGGTCAGTTGCCCTCCGTCGTGTGGACCCAGATTCTGAACATGAACTATTCAGTATTATGGATCTAGACAAACGGCCACAAACGATGACGTCTGACCAGAATCGCCCGCTACGCGTGCAACTTTCTGGACCGCAGTCTGTCACGGCCTATTTGCCTCCAGGCACAAAATACATCATTCGCTGGGGCGACATGCACCCCGGACCATCGGAAGACACAGTGATGGGAGATCAGGCAGAATACTTGATAGAAAATTTGCGTACGTCTCAAACTCTCGTTTCTTCGAGATGATACACTAGCCCTTGTATGCACTAAAAACTGTCAAATAGCTTTCACCTTAAAAGTAATTGGAATGCAATGAAGTAACCGCAGGGGCTGAAATCTTACCACTAAGGTGCTTTCTGCAGCATTGTACTTTCAGTTTAACTTTAAGAAAGCCTTTCATGGGAAAAAGAAGATACAACCCCAGGAAACACTCGCAACTTAACCCACGCATTCAAAGGTACATAGCATATTCATTGATTCGGATAACGTGAAAGTTACGCCTTACCGACGACCGCGTTTCGTTGTAGGAGAATCGTTCCAACCCAGATTAATCAGAAGGTACTTGAGTCTAAACTGCATGCAAAAACAGCAGCTAAATATTGAGTGTTAAATAACTCAGATCGGAACCACTTTTGGAAAGGGAAAGGAGTGAAGCTCATGATGTTGCCTTCCCGTACAAACCAGTTCTCAGAAAAGTTTACTATAGTTTCTTTTCCTAAAAAATTTTATTCATTGTCCGAGAGCTCACAGTCGTCGATACTGAACTTCAGCACTCGGGCAAATTCTCAAAACATATTTCGTTCAAGACTTCTAGCAAGTTCCATGAAAGTGTCATCGTTATCAGGTACCCAAGCGTGTACGAAACATCCGCCCAGCTCAGCGAACAAGCCAACGACCACGAAACATCATTTTTCCTTAGTGATCGGTTTGCAGCTTTCCCATATCATCGGAAGCCTACGGTTCTTTGATACAGCACATAAAATCTGATTGTGTAAGGTCTCTTTCTAACACGACCATGTTGATCCAATCGAATGGTCCGCCATCTCCTCTTAAACGAAAGATTGTTCCGATTTTTTAAGCCAGAAATAGGCCAAACTTTTTGCGTCCGTTTAGAATGACTAAAAAACAATTGGATTTCCTTCAGAAACTCAGAAAATATTTAAGATCAAGCAAAAATTACAATGGAGATTTAGTTACACACAATCCGGGTTGCGGAACTTCTTGTCTGTCAACTTAAGTTAATAAACAACCTGCGCCGAACTCCCTGTTCTACCGATTCTTTTCCGATCATCTGCACAAAAGTGCGATGCCATAGTGCTCATGGCGAACACAGAACACAGACTAGTGGAATCCGTCCGGCCAGCAATGCTAAGACAACTGAGAGAATTCAGATTACGCAGCAGGTCTTTTGTCTGTGGATATCAAGAAAACGGTTGCAACTTTTTTTCTTCACATCCAAAGTCACCCACCGGTCTGTGTTTGCAAAGGGGGTTGCGACCTGAACAGAAATGGGAATAGTGTTGCTGTCTGTCACTTGAGAGTAGGTAACCTTCTTCATCGATCTGGGAATTCCGCCTGCCTTATCAATATCACTTACGTGAAGTGCACAAGTCGCACCGGAAACCCGAAGCTCCCGAAGGTGACTCATATATGATATGGTACGTAGTTTCTTGTGAAGACACTTGAGATGATGTCGGCCGAGGACTTTTTGCCTAAATCCAAAATCGGAATGGAACAGTGAGTAATGTGTCGGGAAAAGGGTATGGTAACACCGCAAAACGATTCAAACGACGAGTGAACATAGCTCCGTGGAGGATCCAATAGACACTTGGCCACGTGACGCCGGAGAATGGGTGGCTCTGTATCCTGCTTAAGATCGTGCTAATCACACTTTCGTTTAGCCGCTCATGGCCGGACGGTTTAATCATCAATTCCAGGCGTGTGGGCACAGGGAGGGGGTTTGAAAGCTCGAATCGCCCTTGAGGTACACAATGCTAAAAATGAAATGCTCACTAAGAACTCGAAGAATGATCTTGAATTTTTGGCACAGATGAGTTTCTTCATTGAAACCAGGAAACGATGCTTCACAGAACGAGTTAGATATCCACCGGACTACGAAAACACAGCACCTTCTAAATCAAAAGATATTCCGGGTTGTAACATGTGCTCACAGTCAGGGCCTACCTCCACTAAATTGCTGCGTTATCCAACGTCCTCGTTTTTGCACGCCATGTCACAATACCCAAGCTTTGGTCAGTTGCCAGAGTGATAACAACTTTGGATTATGTCCACATGATACAATGCGCCATCGTCAACCAACTGGACAATCACATGACGTTGGTACGGATCACTTTGTCTACCAAGTCACCAAGACAGGCATTAACTACAAAAAATCACGTGAACACACACACACATGACAATCACTCTAAAAACACGATGGCTTGAAAACCTGACGGTAGGCGGCACAAAAAGCAGGGACAATTCGACAAAATGATGCGCCATACGCTATTGTTTTAAAACGGTGCTGATGGAAGATCCGACAAATATGAAAATTAGCAGAAAAATCCAGTCACTCGACTTACTTCACGCGATGAAGCGATTTCTGACTCCTCGACTGTCGATTTCCCAGACTAGCGGCATCATAAGTGAATTATAAGATTGTTAATTGCTAAACTAAAAGTGATTTCTCATTGAGGAGAACGCTGATAGCTCACTAATACAGATGGTCGGTGGATTGGACCAGACAGTTTGTTTGGTAAATTTCACCACCAATCGAGGCGCAGTCAAGGATCCGAAACTTTTAGTAACACACTGACAATAACGGTGAAACAGTCGTAAAAGTCTCCTTGGTTTTTCAGTGCAGACTGTCTTCACTGACAGAATGAGGGTTTGGTTGAACCTTCGAAATTTTCTCACATCCAGTGACCCCGGAAGTCTGTGATCATAATTTTTAGCTCGGTTAATATCCAAGGTGTCACCCATTTACCAAACTGGAGCTTTGATGGGATGTAATGTTCCACTCATTTAGTCACACATTAACAGCCTAACTAACTCATGTGATGTTATCCTTCATCTTCTGTTTTCCCACTTGCTTTCCTCGGTATGACTTCGAAAGCGAATGCGCTTATCACTCGCCCACCGTGTTTGAATCACATATCCCATCACCCTCAAGTGGCGAGTGCAATAATTTCTTGCTTTCATTCAACATGTGACACACCAGATAACTTGAAACTGACTAGTCAAATAGTTCATTCATCGAAATCTGGAAGGGCTATGTTCCCACTGATTGTTCCATTAAATGAGTGAGTTTCTTGGGTTCCAAAATGGAGTGCATTGTTGAACACGTGTGTGAATATTTCATCAAGAGGCAATAAAAGTGATGTCCAGTGACTTTAAAATGATCTAGATGTACGCCGATATTGTTTCGTAGACATGTTTGAATAACTTCAAGACATTAGAGTGGAAAAAGTATACATTTTCGGAAGCGTTACAAACGCATTGAACCGTCGGATCGGTAGATAATACGTAACATCCCACAAACATTGTGAGATGGTTCCTCACATTCAATCCAGGTGAGTTTTTTTATTTATCAGGGTAACAAAATTCATTGTAGCAGTATCCAGTTACAAGTTTTTTCATTCATTCGAGAGAGTACTGACCGAACAGGAGTAGTATTTGCCTGGAGAACTGGATACTTGTCCGCTGGTGTTCAAAGATCAAATAACACACTTTCGCGCACCAATCTATGGCGTTTTCGGGGTTGTTTTATGAAGCAGGTTTCACTTTCTGAACGGAGCTGTAGCATTTGGAGAAGCCCTGTTTGATTCATACGTTACTCCAGTCATTAACAAGCTACCACAAGATGGGTGAACATTTGGAATTGCATAGCTTTCCGAAATGAATAAATAAAAATAGAAGGGCGTTCGTTTTTGAGAGAAAGATTTGGGAAACAGTTATCAGTGAGTGTAAACCAACCGTGTGTTATTCGATTTAGGAAACGTACCTTAATCTTTCCAGTCTTTGGTAATATATTGCAAGTATTCTCTAATGAATCGAGTTCATTGTGAGAGGTCTCACAAAACCAGAAAATACAACCTGAGCGCTTAGTTGTCCTTAATGACCGAATTCCTGATCGGCATCTAGTGCATCTGTCGCAATTGTGACTGCTCCGCTTCGTCGCATGCATACATTTAGCATTTAAGTTTCAATACCGTCCAGTTTAATCTCATTTGATTTGTCACAATTTCCCATGGCTGGTTATTTACTATAATCGTCCACTTTCTACCCCTTGCTTCTGACTCGCCATTTTTGTTTGCGCTGCGTCAGGTCCTGGAACAATCTATTACATTCGAGTAATTGCTGTGACGCGGTTGGGCGACGGACCAGCGGCATACACTGTGACCATGACACGAAGTTTAACTTCAGGTAATTTATTACACCTAATCTCTTCGTCATTTCCCTCTCTTTTTTCACCCATATGTGCACTCGCCAGTGTGGTGTCGTGGATTGCCTGTTAAAATTCCTCTAAGTGGGTGGGCCTCTTTGTGCTGACTGTTTGCCGGATTGGAGTGTTTTCTCAGTGTACTGGGTTACACATGAGAGTGTCATTCAATGTGTTTGGTTGGTTATACTCTCCGCCGAATTCATATAAACACTATCGACGAAGAAGGGCGTTCCATTTAAAAATGGTCCGACCAGAATTCGCTACTGGCTTTTTTCAACTGTTTGTCAACATGAAGAAATTCAGTTTTTCGCCCTTGATTCTTGACAAAATCCAACCTGAGTATCACAAGAAAAATGCGGAAAACAGACGTGGGCAAACGAGTCACATATGACCTTCCGCACAACGGTGATGACACCGATAATCAGGTGAGAAGAACAAATGACGTGGAATCAATGCCTACTATTCATACCGTATAACAAAACCACCGCGGAAATAGAGTCAGTGTCTATACCAACCGCTGAAATGCCAAAACCATTTTTGTTCTTAAGCGGCTGTATGCACTTACTTATTGCCATTTGTCGTGCAGCTCGTATCAGAAGAAGCGAAGAATAAGTGAAGCCTATGAACTGTTGAGAGTAATTCGAACCGTCCTTTATCTCAAATCCGTATAAAAATGATATGGACGCCGTTTTTTCTGGGACTGACTTGTAGCAGTTTAGGACGAGCAGAAGTTTATTGTTGATCAACGGTGAACCCCATAATTCCACTTGGATGAATAAAGTTATACCGAGCGTGCAAACGTGTTGACCAGGCTGGTAAATTCTATCTTTGTCGAAAAAAATTAGGGAAACAAACAAACGGGAGAACGTAATCATTCCTATGAAGCTTGTCGATAATCACCATCTGCTATGAGATGCAATCGTGGATCTTTGTGAATGTGAGAACTTTCACTCGGGTTTACGTTGCCTTTCTCGTCATCAGTTATATCATAGGTAATTATTATCACATCAGTGGGAACGTCAAGTGCAGTGAGATTGAGTAATTGGTGCTGATTTGGGGAAATGAACTACTGACTGACTGACTGGCTGACTAATTTGTTGATTGATTGACTTATTGAATGATTGAGTAGTTGAATAAGGGATCGACTTGTTGACTGTTAATTTGAAACTGTACACGAAATGGTTATGATGTGACGTCTGTTACACTACCCTAAATTTCGTAATTTATGCATAAAGGAGCACTTGGTTTTTAGATATTTTTTTCCTAGTATGACAGTCGGGTTTTCAGTATCTTAGGTCTCTTCTGGCACGAAAAGATGAATTGTCTCTGACGCAACCATCACATGACTTTTTATTGCCTTACCAGTATTCGACACCTATTTGCAAAAGACTTTATAAACAGAACACTCACACGGAATTCAGCCAAATGTAGGGGATACTGCATGCTGGCGGTTCATCTGAATCTCAGATAGGATTTCCTCTTTTTTCCTGGTCTACTCAAGAGGGATTTCGTCCACTCAAACGAGTCCTAACACTCAAGCCCCGGACGGTGCACTCCCTATTTCATGTAAAACTGTCGTCATTTGAGTGCTTTTTCCCGCCCACATACATTTCCGTCAACGTTTAGCATCCTTTTTGCTCAAACGAGTCCTAACACTCAAGTCCCGGACGGTGCACTCCCCATCTCATGTAAAACTGTCGTCCTTTGAGTGCTTTTTCCCACCCACCCACATTTCCGTCAACGTTTAGCATCCTTTTCGAATTGCTTTATCGTCAAGATAATCTTTCTCAAGGTGACTTGAAAACCATTGTTTTGGATTCCCTTATAAAAAGGCTCGATTGCCGTTTTCAGCCCGTTGATTCCTCATCCACGATATTGCAAAGATCCATCTGAAAAAAAGCTTTCTACTCCTTTGGCTTTCTTGCGTTCCCACGCTTTTTTGCATTATTACCTATATTGTGATAATAATAAGTTGATATCTTGTCATACAGATTGGATTAAGTTAACGAATCTACCTACACACCTATCTATCTATCTATCTATCTATCTATCTATCTATCTATCTATCTATCTATCTATCTATCTATCTATCTATCTATCTATCTATCTATTCTATCTAATCTATCTATCTATCTATCTATCTAATCTATCTATCTATCTATCTATCTAATCTATCTATCTATCTATCTATCTAATCTATCTATCTATCTATCTATCTAATCTATCTATCTATCTATCTATCTAATCTATCTATCTATCTATCTATCTAATCTATCTATCTATCTATCTATCTAATCTATCTATCTATCTATCTATCTAATCTATCTATCTATCTATCTATCTACCTATCTATCTATCTATCTATCTATCTATCTATCTATCTATCTATTAGCTCATAGTGGCACAACTGGAAAATGAAGGCATTTTGACATCATTAATTAGCTGTGTTCACAGTGAAATGACTCCGACCAAATGTCCTTTCCCCGGTCCTGGTTGTCAAAAAACCCAAATCTCCTCACACCACCAACAACTCATAAGTAGCTAATTGGAAGAATAAACTTCATCTGATGAGTGAAACTTACAACTGAGAAGCCGATGCTCGAGGAGCCAGTCAATAAGTGTAACTGCGTGATGTGGATACCGTGACTGAACAATGAGCAATGCTATATCCTGTCTAAATGTGAGTTAATCACTCTGCTGATTAGCCGCCCGTGGCAGAATGATTGAATGATCAAACTACTAGCCAGGAGGTCACGGGTTCGAGACCTTCCGGAGTTTCGTGAGATGCGCACCCCCGACGATTCCCAATAAGAATAAAACAGCTGTAAGGTGTTTTCCGGTTTTTCAGCACGGCTTCAGTGGCAGGACAAAATTTCCACAAAAAACCCAAGTCTCCCCAAACTACTAACAAATTGATCATTCCAGTACTTTCCTTGAAAAATTCTGACTTGACTTATTCAAAAAGTTTTAGCTGTGGTTTACTCCGTAGAGAACACTCAGACATTCTGTTATACGAAAGCAGTAATTTCTCAAGTTCAGCACTATTGCTTAAACTCTTTTCATCAATGTATAAATCGAGAAGTCTGCACACAAGCCCACCATATCCGAAGGCTAAGATCTTACTGTAACTCAATCCTACGGTGGTTCTGACCGTAGTTTTATATAAGGATAGCTCGAAAATACAGAGCGTGCAATGATGCTATTTTATGCTGCTCAGCGCTTGGCAAACCCTGATGGGTTGGGCATCTGTTTAATCCTGAGTGCAACACACTGAAATGATGCCACAGTACTATGTGCATTACCGACGGGCCTTCAAGTGGCGGACATTGATATACGAAAGCTATAATCATAGTTCGCTGCCTGCCTGGTGACCCAGTCGAAATTCAGGGTTGCTCTAGGTATCTCTCAGCGGACCAAGTGGAGAGCCCATTGGAACACAAACTTTAATGTGTCAAGTTGCAGTACTTTCAAAATTTCTCCCACGGATGTAAAATGGATGCAAAATAGATGTATAGTTCAGCCAGCCACAGAAAATTTTAATTTTGATATTTTATTTCGAAATTATTTAGATAAGCATGCAACAGTAGGCAGGATTTTTTCTGGCATTCTAAGATGAATTCAAGAATCTTTACCAGATAGGATCCATGAAAGTTATAGCGCGACGTAGCTGATCACTGACTCACTGTTCCACATATGGCGATTCAAGGTGATTTCTACAAAAATTTCAGCATTTTCAGTTACCTTTCCGTCAATTTTAATTTAGGTTGAAAAATTCAAGAAATCTCTCGCTGCGGAGTGAACATGGGTACCCGCTGTTTTGGTTAAAATACGCCCACAACGTTCTCCAAATTAGTGGCTTCCCTTGCGTATTGTTTTCAATGTATCGTTTCTCTAATGTGTTCGGGCACAAGTCTTCAAAATCACCCGGGGAAAGATGATTCTAAATTTCGTGCACGCATCACACAAGATATTTTGCAACGGCCTTATGCACAGGTGAAAAATAAATAATATATAGTAAAATGTACAGCTACGGTCATCTCCTCTCAAGACCTCTGTTTATTTGTGTTGAATCATCGTTCCCTTGTTCAATGCTCTCCTTTGGCCATGCTTACTAAATGAGCCTCCTGGTGATGGTCCCGCTGACGAAGGCTTTCTTGGTGGTTGTGTCATGGCCTGAACTGGAGAGTGTCAACATTAATTGAAGCTAATCGAAATCCATCTAAGAGCATAATTTTTAAAGTTGTCATGACCTTAATAGTCCCTTTTGTCTTTACTATCCATCTGTTTTCCACCTGGCTAAAAGGCTGTTTTTTGGTCATTTTGGGCATGTATCGGAAAGATTTTTAGCTCCGCCATGTGATCCTGATTTGAAATATCTTCCGCACATGATTTGTGTGCTGTGTGAAACGTATCGTAAACTCTTTCAAATTGATGTTACTTGCCCCCCCCCACACACAGGAATCTTTACAAACCAGTTCAAATCTCTGTATGGGGTCATGACGCAAGCTTCTGTCCTGTTCTTTATCAGCTTACTAAAACTAAACCTCCCCCTTTTTGTATGCTGTTGTCCCGTGTCTCAGGCATGGTTCAACCTAATAAACGACTTTGTCCACTAACTGTTCTCGAGTTCTAGTCTTGAATACGATACTTGTAAGCATCACACATGCTTTGTGAGTACTTGGATTGTCGAAAAATTTGATATCCAGATGCACTGGACTATTTCTAATTGATCTGGCCATGATCTGAATTTCTCTGATGTTTAAAGAGTTGTTCAAAAACTAATTAAAAATCTTACTGGTGTAGATTGTACAAGATAGTGCATTGGAGGCACGACATGATTAGATTGTTAAGCACGAAGCCACCAGTTTACTGAGGAAATTCAGTTGCAAACCCCATGGCTTTTTTCATGCTCTTGATTGGATGGGATGATCAGTTCAGGGTAGGCTGGCGAAAAACTAATCCAAATTTCCTTTTTTAACATTTGCTAAACCAAACCTCAAGTGAAAACTAGGAAGTTGGGAAGATGAGTCGCCCTTTGACCGTGTGCATTCCCTTTACAAAAAGCCATGATCCTTCAACCTAAGGACGTTGTAGTCAGCTCAAAAATTGTTTATTCTAACACGAAATTGTAACAATACCATGCAGTGCTTCGAACAACTCAGCAATTCAGAAGGTTGCCCGTCAGGACTAGTCTATGTTCGTTGGAATGACGTCATCTTCAACTGCGACCCACTCTATTTCATCCTACCTCCAGCCTAAATGTTGACATCTGAATCTTTTTATCCCTTATTTACTCTACAGATACCGGAACCCTCTCATCTAACGGTCCGATTATCCCTGTGAACCTTGTTGTGCGGGCTGTTGGATCAACATGGGCTCGTGTGGGTTGGGAACTGCCGGAGCTCCCAACTCGTCTGCAATCCCAGGTGCTTCTGTTTAAAATAAAATACTATCCAATTAACGTCGATCGGTCCACCATGCAGACCTTTCAGACAGGAACCCCTTCATCAGAGGCCACCGTGATCACGGTTAATTTGAGTGTGCCACTGAATCCCACCACAGCGGCTTCTCAGCAATCGTGGCCGTTCAAAGCGGTCCTTCGAGGTCTTCAGCCGGCAACACAATATGAGTTTGGAGTTTGTTTATTGGATCCCCCTACCGAAGGGGCTAGTTTCCACATGCCAGTGAAGGGCCAAACGATATCCCCTGAGCTATGCTGGAGTATGGTACAGGGCTTTGAGACTTTTGGCAAAAGTGAGTCTTCTTTTTAGCTGTCTGATTAACACAAAACACGATTCCGAAGTTACCAAACACTATCTGCTGTTAATGGTTTGGGTTATTTCAGCGTTAAAGTCAAGTTGACTACCAGCTGCACAGCAGCGGTGCAGTAAATCATCACTTCAGAACAGACCATTTTATTTTCTACTAAGCACCAGTTAAATTTTGACATATTTCTTTGAATCATGCTTATACTTTAGCAAGCTTAAAACTAAATTAATTTTGAAAGTTCACTCATGTTGCCAGCGTACTGTCTTGCAATCTGTGCTTGGAAAACTTTCAGCAAGAAGTGGACGTTTGCGGTCGATACTTTTGTCCTTATTGGAATTATTTTTGACTGTACCGCAAGTGTCAATAATAAAAATGGTCCGATCAAGTGAACCCGCTCCCTAAAAAAGCAACAGCACACAACAGATGCATTTCAGTCCCTTTTCAGAAAGTTATCTTTAATTTGAATGAGGGTCCTCTTGTGTCCCAATTGAACTTGTGCCTTCGATTGGCACCATTACCGGTGAAAGCAACATCAGTATTGACACTGATAATTTGCTGCCATATAGTTTAATTTGAGGCCTTAGAATTTAAAGAAGAGAAGGAGAATAGGTGAGGGAGGGGACTTAGTGCTGACCTATATCAAACATAATGAGGTGCCCACATCTCCAAGCGCCCAATATGACTATCTGGAATGAAACTAACAGCTCGAACGCCTCCGGCATCGATCAGTCACCATTTCTTGGAATGTCTCCTGCCAAGTACGGTCGAGGTCACAAGGACCCCATCCTGAAAGGCGCACTGAACAAACAACATCAAAACCCTTCGAAACCTCCTTCGTCTTCTCCTGCCAATTCACATGCTGTCCACCTCGCGGTCTTCGCTATTCTGTAAGAGGCACAGAAAACAACACTCGTCTCGGTAGGCGGCGTTTCGGCATGCGTACAACATGGTCAAGTCATTGGAGTCGATAGTGCTCGATGTTTTTCGCGATTTAATTACTTGATGCACAACCAACTACCCATTGTCTAATCACCTTGTTACGAATTCGTTGACACCAACTACAACTAGCAGCGCCTCTGAGATGCTCCCAAACCCGAAGACGCCTCACATCAACTGTCCGCAGAGGCCGTGTTTCGCAATCATACAACAATGCAGCCCTTAATGTAGCCTTATACAAGCGATACTTGAGACCCATTGGGGACCGTTTTGGCGCCACGAATAACGCAAGTTAGTGTTGTGTCTTGCTGAACGGTAGTGCAAATCTATATTGGTCCCTTGGCTTCCTGCTCCGCCCATTAGGGTATATCAAAAGGCACGGTAGCTCTACACAGCCCTTTATGGAGACAAAGGAAAATTAGTACAGCTGTATTTATACCGTAGTCACAGAGTGTTCCCCAAGGTCGTGCCAGAATCTCCACGAGGGGACGAGAAGCGTCGAGTCGGATGCTCGACTCGGATTGGCTGGCATTCTGACCAGTCAATGTATGCCTTCGTTTGCTCCATGTCCTGCGCGTGTCACATCCGTCCAAATGATGTGATGTTCGGTTATTAGGGACGGCTGGCCTCCGGACAGTTAGCGAACGGGATTTGGACCTTTGATATTCATGCACTGAATTCATCAGATACAAATCCGTCGGAGCTAATACGGCTACTGAGGCATGTAGAATCCTCCAAAGTTTCCAGCGAATCTCATAGAATTGTAAGGGGTACGTTCAGAGACTACACATTGTGAAGCATTACTTTGTGCTTTGGCGGTGCAGGGCGCATGCCGACAGGTGAATAGATGATCACTTAATTCAACAAGACTTGTACTGCTCCTTCATCTTCAAATATGACGGTGATGTCGTCTGCGCACTCCTGATGGACATGATTCTCACGGTCAAAAATAAGAACACCGCGGTTATGAAGAACTTCCATTGTTCGCCTCAGTATTTCACTATTGATGTGTTGCTGTAACATCTGACAAAGTGGTAAAGTGTGATCGACGCCCGCTTGACGCTCACCAGCCAACGGTTCACGTGCCGCGGTAAGGCGTCGAGGAATCAATGATCTATTGAAGTGCGTGTTCTTCTTGTTCACTCCCCCGTGGGGAAGTTTATGCAAACATCCCTGCAGAACCGAGACAAACTCAGAACGAGTTTTCACTTGAATGATTGGCATGGAAGATGAAGTAGAAACCAGGGTAATTCACATTTGCAAGACCATCAACGATATGCATGGTCATAAAAATGTGCCCTTTCTGGCGCTGCACTTCTTGTTTTGTTGACAGAAATGTGCACTCCGATCTTGTTCACGATAAAATTACCTAGATTCACATTGATGCTGGAATTTCACTTTGTTTTCAGCCTGATTGTACGACTACTCAAAATGCCATTTTTAACGGTGTTTGTACGGCCTTGCTATTCACCGCCGAAAATTGTTTATTAGTACGGTACATTATTCACATGAATATATGACCCGGTGCCATCACAACGAACATTTCCGGAGGTCGTGTCACACCATAACTGAATTGATGTATGGGTGGCATTTCATCCTTAAAAACTGAGTAGTTTGTACACTGCTTGTTCCTTTTAAGAGAATTATCGGTATTCACCTAGAGCTGCTCTAGCTCGAATACTCAAGTCGTATTCCAGTCAAAACCTTGTTCGTTATTCTCTGAGAGAAATCAATGCTAGGTTTAACCTGATGCTTGTTTTATCACAAGGCGTCTTGAAATTAGTAAGAAATCTAGAAGCAGAATTATTTCAGTTGGGCATTCCGGTTAGGCCGCTCTAGCTGATGCGAGTACGAGCCGTGACGGTTAACCATTTTAGCCCAGACAACTGCACCTCTATTCTTTTCACACTAGTGATCCATGCGTGGTATCAATCACTTCATTCCGTCTTCAGTCGGATGATGACTTTCCGTCGGCCAATTTCTTTGAGATTCACAAGCAATAAAACTCACTCATATTCAAAAGATTCTGTCCTCGCTTGAGAAGCATAAATTTAAGTTATTCGATACTCGACCGCGTTCAGATTCCATTTTTAAAAGTGAATTTATTACTGTTACGATGAATTAGCAGTGGGATTTCAGTGCCAAAGACCTCTCTGTATAACTAGATGCCACAATTTCGTTGCAGATTTTTGTCTCGTCAGTCAAGTTTTTGGTACCGTAGTGTTTGCTTGTGTTTCCACAGTGAGACACAGGATTCTTACTAATGCGAAACGGATCTGAACTGACCAGTTCTACTGTGCTTATTGCAGGCATCCACAAGATAGTTTGGAGTTGTTTATGGTCGTAAGCCCATGACATATTAAGTATCATACTACAAATTATTGAGAGTTGACACGTTCCATAATTGTGACTAATTAGATGTGCTCGGGTTCAGAGATTTTCACAGCTTATTCGTGGACTTGCGTCCGTTCTACTGTCAGTCTTACAAGGATCCACCGACTAGATGCCAGCGTGCACTCAGCCAAACATTCCCGCTTCTACGACTGAGTGGATATGGAATCAAATTTACAAGCTCGTGTTTCTTCCAGAATGTTTGACTGATCTACATTCAATTCGGATAAAGCATCATGATCAATACACTATAGTAAAACATGTTGGTAAAAAGCTTTACCACAAACCGATATCATTTATACAACCCTAGTCTCTTGATGCATTTCAAGCTGACTGACACTTTATAGACTGCAAATGGCAGTGCCTACTAGTCCGTATTATTGCGTTATGGCAGCTGAATACTGGGGTTAATTCCACTAATTAACGGGGTGTGGTACAGAAGTTATACACCATCGTACCGTGGTAGATCGTTTTTACAATACATAGAAAGCAAGCCCGGTTGCGTCAACTCTAACAAAATCGGAAAATGTCTTACCGGCTGTCATCCATCAAGATCTCAATGCCTACTTCAGATTAGGCCTATCGACTGCCATCTCTGCAAGAAAAAAGCAGTTTCAGCTTCTCTGTGAAGCTGTTGTAGTCAAAGCCTGCCAGATCGACTGATTCTGTGCAGATTGCCAGACCTGTTAGGAGATAACGGGTTTGTCCGAGCGTGCGCTGCCAGCGTGTGTAGCAAGAATTAATCACTTATGAATATAGAGCTTGAGACAGCCAGTAGCCTACTGTTCAGCTCGGCAAGTCTGGGCGGAAAAAGCGAAAACTGCCTGAAAAATTGATTGTAGCATTGCATCATCGGAAGTTTAGTGGATGAAGGCCTGAGGCACAGTTAAGCGATTAGGATGGCCCTGTTCCTAGTTGATGGGTCCATGAAAGGCTTGATCATGTTGGTAGAGGATTCACCTTTGCGCACAAAGTTGGAGCAAGTAGTCTGAAAGCGAACGATATGCTTGAGTTTAGTGTTAGTTGGCCGGCAAATAATGCCAGGTTATTCGAGTGGTTGACTGGACACCTGTGAGTACTAGGTGATTTGGGATTGAGTAGTTGGTTTAGCCCCCGTTCCGCTCGATCTTTGTGACAGCTACCATGTAATGCGACTAATCAGGCTTGTGAAGCGTGCAACGCAGATCACCAGTGAAAAACCGAGGACCAACGACTTGCCTTCAGGGTTTGTTTTGCGCAATAACATAGTAGAACGAATGCTTGGATCTAGAAGTTCAGATGTTTCTTTAAATAATATTCTTATACGACGTGTAATATATCCCGGAGCATTGCCATTTCTAAAACAAAGTGTCTACTACACAAAATTTGCCTGTTCCGCTAATAATTCACGCAATCGAAATTGGGTTCGTTTAATAGAAAAATATGCTCCTAGGACATTCAGGATGATGGGCTCAAAGTGACTAAAGCACAGGAGGTCAATCCTAGTGACGAAAGAACTATCACCGGTAACAAAAGTGACTATGTATGTTGCTTCCTTTTGGTAGTGCTACTCAGAAAACGCTCAAGTTTACATAACTGTGGTTTGCAGTTTGCAGTTTACAATTGCCCAGTTGGGACAACTACGACAAATAATCAGTCTTAGACTGCTTTACTCTTGTTTGCATTTGTTGCATAGACTAACCGGGGGGTCGGGCCCTTGTCATGAACGACCAGTGCGTATCTTTCAAAGTTCTTGGAATTGAAGTTCTAAAGTTCGGAAAACCAAATAGTGGACACAGGCTACCCGGTCATCTCAGGTGGATACATTAAATATCGGTTGCTTTGCCCCAACGAAGTGACTGAGAATAGCATGTCAGTTACTTTCGAAACTGATCTAGTCGACCAGCATCATATATCAAACTCATAATCTATGTGCTCACAGTGTTTGTCTATCAAGCCGCCGTTGAAGAGTTCCTGAATATTGGTTTTCCAGGTCACTCCGGTTCCTATATTCAGCAGTCAAGTGTACCACCTGTGCTCTAATACGACCTCCCAAAACACACATCTGACTAACAATCCGCCGGGACACTTGGTCAGCACTCATTGTGATTTCAGACATTTTGATTCCCCTCCACCGCGCTCTAAAAGATCTTTTTAACTGCTGGTTTTAGAAGCAGATCCAGGCTACCATCCTGTCCCCAAACTTGTGGTAAATCTATAAAATCATTCCTCAAGATTTTAAGAGCTCTTCAGTCTGGGCTGCTTACAGTGGAAGGCATACTCTGAACTTATCTGGATGTTACCCAGTCCTACCCATTACATTATTTTACTACCAGTTATTCAAAGAATTCGCTCAAATTTTCAATGATAACAGTCTGTCTGCACTAGACTTTCTATGGAGTTACAGTGAATAAAATCCCTTAGCTTGTTCCAAACTGCATGACGAACGGCTTGGAATAATTAATGCCATCCTAGGCTTCACCACATAAATACGATTCACCAGTGGCAATGCATTCGCCAGAAGCGACCATCATCGCATAGTGTCGTCCAGTTACGTGTCTTAGATCGGCCGTCACTGAGATCTGTACAATCCAAACTTAGTTGAAAGCAAACAGAGGGAACCAGTTTTATCCTTGAATCAGACTCTGTTTACTGATGGTTTCTGATCTCAAACTTCCATGTACACTGGATCAACCTTATAGACCCATCAGACGCGCCTACGAATATTCGAATCTCCGTACCACGGGAAGTAGTCGACCCCCTCGCGCAAAACGAAGTGGGTGGACGTGAAAGTAAACCGTCTTCAGCGAAATCCGGTGTGCTTGTCCGTCTCCACTGGGATGCACCTTTGCGGGCCAATGGAGAAATAGGGGCCTACGTAATCTACCTGAGTGCAGATCGATCGAAAAGTGTTAATGATTGGTCAGAACACACTGTCCCTGGTAGTATGAACTCCGGCAACTTACCCGGTCTACAACCGAAGCAGATCTACTTCCTGCGAATGGTAGCCCGAAACAGACATGGGACATCACCGTTTTCCCCAGTGGTTGCCTTCCGGACCCCAGACTGTGAGTCCATTAATCGGATACGTTGTAGAAAACATAAATTTCTTCGAAACAATGAGTTTGGTTAGCAGATTACAGTTTGGCGTATCGATTTTTAATGCGGTAAATCGTATCAGCAAATAATCTGTACGATATCGATTAAATCTATCAAAGTGAAGTGTGGTGATACGGAACGCAAGTTACTTTGCTTGTGGCATTGTACTGTATCACACTAAGACCTACCAGTGACACTCCGAATTAATTCAAGTAGTGAACGATGAACGTGACGTCCAAGCCTGGCGTTTGTCCCCAAGATGAAGCACACGGTTCAATTAAGTTTACCTTCAGTCCTTGAGGTAAAAGGCAGGGTTCAATCAAGTTGTCAAAGAGCGGAGATAATGGTATCAGCTATTGCTGTAAGAAACTTGGACCTGGGGAAAAGCGCTCACTCTGGGGTGATGGTCTGTTTATGTAAGTAAGCTGTAGGTCGGTCTTACTTTTATTAAGTTGGGATATTTGGGCCAACCTCAAAGCTGAAGAAGCGCATAGCTTATTACGCTATCCATCAAAACCCATCACAAAACTTCGGGTTTCTGGATTCCCCCAAACTGTGCAGCAGTCTGCTCCTATGCCTGGTTCGGGCTGTGAGTTTACATTTGTTCTGCACGATTGCAAAGCCATTATACGCCCAGAGAGTGAGACATGTGGACGTAAAAATGGGGTCGATTACTACCGTCAGACATTTTCCAAAGAGATTCAAAACAAGTTTACTCTGGTTCGTTCAACAGAAATTCCACTGTCAGTTTATTTGTTCTGCCCGATTGCAAAGCCATTATGCGCCCAGAGAGTGAGACATGTGGACGTAAAAATGGGGTCGATTACTACCGTCAGACATTTTCCAAAGAGATTCAAAACAAGTTTACTCTGGTTCGTTCAACAGAAACTCCACTGTCAGTTTCATTGCTGCTGGAATACAGAATAGGGCAAGGGTGATTGATGGCTTTTAACACATTTTCTTGGTAGCGTTTCACATCTGTCACTGAAACATTCCCTCACAGTAAATGTGAGGCCTGTGAACAATAGAATTTTACGCCGTCGACCTACGTAGGTGTCCTTGACAGCCTTGGTTATCAACTCTTCTGTGCCCAGCGGAGAGGAACTTAGTGGGTTCGTTGAATGGTGTGCATTTCAGCGCACACTCTTCAGCACTGCAATCAGTTGACGAACTGGGACATCAGGGTCAAGAGTAAACAATAGACCTCGCGACCACCAACCCCAAAAAACTCCCATTCGGCAAACTCCAACCCATCGACTATGACACGCATACTGATCCATCAGTGGGAAGGGAGGAGGGAGCGAGGACTCCCGTTCGGCAAACTCCAACCCATCGACCATGACACGCATGCTGATCCATCGGTGGGAAGGGGGGAGGGAATGAGCGAGTGAGTGAGTGAACAACGCCCACTCGCGCCCAATCAGCGAAGCAGCCATGACAGATGAGAGAGAAAATGGACAATGAATCATGTGAGACCGCATCAGAAAGACCCGTCAGGCATCAAATGACAGTACACATCGGCTGAGCGTGTGCGTATATGGACGCACCTATTTATGACGTGGATGTGTGATCGCACCTTAGTAAAAAACAAATCTTGGTGGATTCCTTATCCTGTTTCCCAATGGCCAATCAGCATAAACAAAATGTTCGGTTTGGCCGCCAGCGATTGAAAATCTTTGATCCTCGTGCGAATGTGGAGTGCGGGTGGTGCACAATCATTAGGTGCGATTTCACTGCAGCAAAGTAGTGCGCACTAAAGCGGCATTCAAGATATATGTTTGCAAGATTTTTTGTGCCTACCTTGATGGTGTTTATTAAGGTTGTTTCTGCATACAAATTTCCTTCCACGGATCAGGGTTTCCAAAAAAGTTGAAGGATTCCCCTTCAATAGACATTAATGGTGTCATTTGTCGACAGATATGCAGCGACATCACCGTCATCATCGTCATCATCTACTGAATAACATCATTGTCCAAAAATGACATTTGGATGCTGTGCAACCAAAATTTACGTAAGTCTTAGATTGAAGAGAAGAATTAAAGTGAATAGGGAAGGGACCGACCTACAACCCAGGCACTCGTTCAGAAGCTGGATAGAAAGTGACAACTGCAACCCAACTGGCATCGGTTCGCAGCCCTACCTTGCAGCGCATCCTATCGCGAACATGGGTAGTCATGCGAATCTCATAGGTGGTCAAAGTTAGACCGCCTCTCTCTTCTTGCGTCATTCTGAATTGAGCACGGGGAACAGTACGACTATTCGGTATGTGTAACACATGGCCTAGCTAACGCCGATTCTGGTACTGGACACATTCTTCCCTGAAAGTTACACAACCCGTTGCACAACCGAGCACTTATTTCCTAGTATTCTAGTTGCGGATCCGCCGATACTATGACCCATACTTCCGAAGCAATGGTTACCGATTATCCGGTAATGTCTGTTTCGTTGTGCTTACAGCCACACGACAAAACAACCCTTAGTGTGGCTGAAACAAGCGTCTCATTCCTTGAGGTAGGAACATTGTCCATGTTCATTCCCACAGTGTATTTACAGCCAAGCTTTGAGTGGATATTTTTGGTTATTTACTGAACATTATTAATGTTGCTCAGGAATCCGGAATCCAATACCCCATAAAACTAGAGGGTTCGCCCTCTCGTGCTGGTGTCGGTAACTATGGATAAATGTGCACATAAACAACTAGATCAGTAGTCTTAAAAAATCACTCAATCACTTTGCTTTTTAATCAGTTCATCTCCTTATTACACAGCTAATGGGCAAGGAGGTGGAATGATCCGATTGTCAAAGACATACTATGATGCCCGTGAAATATTCGAGCCTCTGGATACAGTGATTCCAGCGGGGGTTGATCAGAATCAGGCAGCTGGAGTTCGCCCTTCAACAAACGCAGTCGACGAAACCAGTGGAGCGGATCAACTCCGTTGGATTATCGTTGGCTCGGTACTCGGTGGTACCGTGGTAATCGTACTGGTTGCCACAGCGGTGCTGTTCAGTCGATGTCGAAAGTCGCGGAACTCACTGGGGATAATGAAACGGTAAGCTTACTTTGAAGGTTTGGTCAGCTGACCAGACGGCGTATTAACTACTGATTCGGGCTAGATGAATAATAGTTCACCTTTCAAATTTGATCCTTAAATTCATCTGCTATTTATGAGGAGACAACGGTGGCGCCTATTCCATGACCACTTTCCTCTGCCCTATGATGAAACTGTTCCAGAACTAGGAACAGCTTAGCGTCCAACTACCCATATGCAGCACGGAAGCTTAACCTATGGTCGAAATCAGTAGTATTAGGGTAACAGTTCTAGCAAAGAGGGAGAAATAACCTGACACCTTCTATTAACGTTTCCAGCCACACGACAGGGAGTTTCTAAAAGTAAGCTATCACATAAATAAGTGTGCCGGAAATTGGAGAATGATGTAGGGCTGTCAGTTAGGTTCATGATACCAAGTTCTCTACAACACCGAATTATCACAGAATAATGACGGCTGAGTGGCACCGAGGAACAATAGAATCGGTATGCCTCGTCGTCGTGTTACTGAATATCCTATGGAAATGAAAGAAACAAAACGAAAAATTCATTCATATACAAATGCGTTGAGCTGATCGAAGTATGTTTCGTCCAAACAAATCAATCCAAGCCGTAAAAGTGAGTCGTAAAACAAATCAAAATTATTTAGTTGCCTAGTGCTGATCCTACATGCGTAGTTACGGGACGCTAGCTTTACAGTGGGTCATATACAATATGTAAAAATAGATTTCCGGCTAATTTGCCGCTTCGGTCTTAAGACTCAGAGTCTTTTGCACAAAGAATGTTGTCTTTGGCGAAATACACTCATCTGCGAACTAATTTGGCTTTGCGAGAGATCTATGGTTTGTGATGTTTCCAGACAACTGAATGTGCTGACCAGGCCGCCTCAGGTTGCAATTGCTATGATATTCGGGATATCGCGATACATGTACATCTTTGTAATGTACTACTCATTAGGTTGCTGAAATTCGTCGACAACCCACTACCGGTTTCGCCCTTCTTGGGGCTCATCAGGTAGGCGCAGTCTCCTAGTTTCCGTTGACCTTATGTTCTACTTGGAACCAAATTGCAAAAAATTAGCTAAATACACTCATTTGCAAACTAATATGATGTTGCGAGAGACTCATCTGCAACCCAGCTGAATCTCTCCCTTGTGATGTTTCTAGTCTTTGGTCTGAATTTTACAAAACAAATACGTGTGTCTAATTCTGCATCAGTCGCTGGACTAGTTGAGTTAACACGTTATATTGATAGATTTGAACCTAAAATAGTTGGCGGCATTCATTAATCAGATTTGGCACCACATTTACGGCAAGAAAGTCACTCGGCAAACCCATCCATTTTTCATTTTCAGTTCAATGAGGCAAATGAAAAGTAGTGCACCCAATTCTTGACTCGTGTATGAGTTGTGGGGATTTGAAAGTTTACTTGCTGATGCTTTTCGAGCCGTCAAAAATTCGGTCAGAATTTGGATTGACTACCTTCCAATCATTACCTAGTTTCAAACAGTTCAGTGAGACAGGCGATGGAGATTCAAATATTTTGCTTCAGACTATCTGTATTACAGAGATTTCTGTTCACACATGGTCTGCAAATTCACCTGTGCCGTAACCCTGCGTGTGACGTGCGCAGGTTTCTCATAAGCAACTTGTTGATTTCTTCTCATACTCGCCGCCAGCTTTCGTGACGTTGTTGACTGATCCCTGACTTACTGTGTTCACACCAAATTAAGTAAATATGACGGGCCACACAACATTGATTCCTGTGCATGTACTGATTACATTCTATACAGCTTAGGTCATGTGTGTTACGTGCTTGAGTGAACTCTTCAAGCAGCAGAGTGACATTTTTTACTGCGCTGAAGTGAATAGTAACACCACTGACACAGATGGTCTTGTCTCTGTGATGGTGCCAGCCCCCTTCTGTGAAAAAAAAGCAAAAACCAAGACTACACCGCTCGTCCAGTTCAGTTAGCTGTGCTACTAACCCGCCCAGGAAACTACCGCTATGAGAAGAGAGTGATAGGAGGGAAATTGCCTATAGGAACCCAAGATGATAGAACATGTTGAAGAAACGACGACACATAATAAACCTAGCGTGGAATTTCGAAATTGGGAACACTACAGTTTCCTGTTAGAGACTCCAAGTAGACTGACCTGTAAGAGCGTTATTCTTTGTGGAACAGCCTCAAACAGTCAGCCAAAGAAATACAGTTCGATTTATTCAGTAACCTTGAACTTCTTGCCCATCGATGTCTGCGGAGCATTGCCCAAGTCGGGGGGGAACACTGAACCAGTGACGCTGAAGATTTATTCAGAACCTTGAACTTCTTGCCCATCGATGTCTGCGGAGCATTGCCCAAGTCGGGGGGGAACACTGAACCAGTGACGCTGAAGTACGTGGAATGGTTTTCTAAAGGAATAGCTTAAGATAGATGACCTGATCACACTCCACAGTGTGCGCGGGATCGGTGCCCGTGTACCATTCGGCGGACTTCCTCGAAGGACTCCTTCCGCACGAACACGCACAGTGTGGGAACGTGCCAGGGGAGTTTGTTTTGAACTCAAGTACCCAGGGCACGCTCAGATCCGAAACTTACGCAGTTCTGTAGCAAGTGTTTATTTAAAAACATGATTACATCGGCAAACTGATTTCAACATATCACTCACATTGTTTACTTACAACCTTTGCGGCATACACAAATGGGTAAGCTATAATATTCGAGCGTTTAATGCAACCCAGATATCGTGCCACCAAAATAAGCTTTTCTGTCGGAGACTACATGGGAGTAGACAGTCGACTGACAGTTTCACCAAAGTTTGTTGGAATAAGAGCGCTGTTTCCAAAAGAACCGAACACAACCTTACTATAAATTAAGCTGGGAAGAGGATTCAAGAAATCGAATAACGAAGCAGCAACTTTGGTTTACTGCGAATTGAAAAAAACTAATATAAACGTATCCTTTCCTATAGGTCTACCTCCAAGCAACCCTACATGCCAGGCTATCCAAACGTGTATCGATCGGACACAACCAGTCCTACTGATGTCAACACGAAAACAGCTAGTTTCTCCTTACAAGATCCTTGTCATGGAGGGTGCAGTGTCACTGGAAGTGGAGCAGGCGGGTCGAATAGTGGGTGCCACCTGACTGGATGTACTTTATCGGACAACTCACCTGTGGACCCTAGGCCTTCAAGTCATGAATGCTCGGGGCATCACCCACCTGGAATCTATCGTCCCTGTTTGGATTGGTCCACACCGAATCGGATGCACGCTTCAAAATGCCACATGACAGGAGTAGAACCAAAATGTTGTGCTGCCTTATCTGACTCCAGCGGGCCTATTTGGACCCAACTGACGACAGTCATTCCTGGTTGTATCGACGACAGGCACTCGACAACTGCCGGAAGCGATATCGATACTCCCGGTTCGTGTTCTGGAAGCTCACGGAGATTCGATCCCGGAATAGGACGAAAACAGTCCAAGCGGAACGAAGGTTCTGAATGTTGTGACCATGGGTTTCATGGACAAGGTGGATACGGTAAGCTGTATTCGCAGGCACGTCTTTCGTAGCAATGTTATGCTCCTCTGCTAAGCTTGAAACATGTCTGGGTTATCAGAAACTAGCACCCTTATTTTGCAAGGTAAAGTTGGTTGCCAAATTTTAGTCATAGGTGCTGAAGTTTCCCACTTATTAAGTTTATTAGCGTCATCAGGCAAAGTCCTAGGACTACAAGCCCGTTTCAACTATTACTTATGTTCTGGCTAGGGCACTTATCGACTCCTTGCACGGTTCCTGAATTTCGATCATCAAGAAACTAGACTTCACCCGTCTAGTGGTACAGCAGGGTATCAATACATGACAGTAGAGTGGCGTTTCGGCAACTCTATCAGAGTTCCGCGGTATTTCCTTCAAGAGTAGCAATGAAATTCTTCAATAAACCTTTGAATGGTACAGCAGGGTATCAATACATGACAATAGAGTGGGGTTTCGGCAACTCTACCAGAGTTCCGCGGTATTTCCTTCAAAATTAGCAATGAAATTCTTCAATAAACCTTTGAAACAGAGGTAACTTTTACGTCCGCTCACACGCCAGACATGGCCAAATGAAGTATCGAGGAAGTAACCACGGATAACTCTATGCAACAGTTCTCACTCACTTCTCGCTCACAGTCTAGGCTATCACCTTTTATAAGATATTTTTGGATGACATTGTATCGAAAAATTAGCGTACTCTTGCCATTCAGTTCTCAGTTGTTTGTTGGGATTATTCATCTAAATTTTGTTTGGCAAGTACTTTTACTCCCTTCGTTGAATATCACTGCGTTTCAGTAGAGCACACATCAAACTGCCGCAATCAAATGGTGTGGAACCAGACAGTGGGCGAAGGGCTTACCCGAGACATGACCACCTCCTTCCTGTCTTCAAGCAAACACCGCCCAGGACTGGAGCTTAGCTCAGACCCTTTTAATCACGACCGTGGTGAACACATTCAGCAAAATAACGCATACCGACCCATAGCCAACAAAAGACGTTTAATGAATGGATACCGAAACGATATTGAAGAGCGCTCCCCTGACATGTGTGTTGTTCAACAGAGATCGATACCAGCCCCTATGGTTGCTTTCACCGGTAGCGGGAGTTTGAACGATGATGAGGCCATCACGTCATCGCCGGCAAGCAGTTCCGCCGGCAGGACTTCAGCTAACTTGCCCCACTGGTCACCTATGAGAAAGTATCACCCACTGGGACAGCAGTCAGCCCAATCCGGCTTCTATCCCCATGACAAATCAGAACCGATAAGCCCCCAGAGAAGCCGCGTCAACCATTGTCAGATGCGGCTGGACAGTAGGAACAACTCCGATTGTAAGTTTTCTACTCTTCAACTATTAGTAGTATAAAAACGTAATGGTTACTGACCTCGATAATCACACTGTTGATCAGAGATAATATTTTCTGACACGGGAAAATGTAGGTAATGCTTTCACACGAGCAGCCCTATTGAAATCACCAACACAGAGTCTTACCCTTTTCTCTAGCAAACAAATTTGGAGGAAAGTCCTCTTACTCGTCGAACGCCGGAGATCATGGGAATTACGGAAATTTGATGGTCACAAACCGAGTGAACGCAATGAGCTCAGATTACGCATCGCAACAAAGCAGTCTGAGTGAGTCTAATCCCAAAGTGTACGCTTTTCCGACACTTCTTGTCAGCTCTAATTCAAATCGATCACGCATTTTTCTGACTATTGCAGGCAATCCATCGAGTGCATCCAGCGCAGTTGGAAACGGATTTTCCCCCGAAAGACCCTTCGTGAGCAAGACCAACATTATGACAACCTGCGATCAGCGAGCCAAGGACATAGGCCTTTCGTTTGCTCTGGATCGTGTCCCGACTCCTGAACCAACTCCGAGACCAGCTCCACTTAACCGCTTAGCTGGGGGGAAGATGAGTCAACCTGAGGAGATGGGAAATCGTTGGAATATTGAAAAGTTGGAAGACCTAATTGGCAGGACAAAACTAGGACCAGATACTGCCACATCATCACCAACCCTGGTGAAAAAAGCCCAGCTATCCTTTCTGGGTTCAGGACAAGAGGAAATTATGAAAAATCGGGACGGATTTTCTCACGAAAACACTCCGGAAACGGTGGATAGCATTTCCGAAAAGCAGTTGGTTGTAAGTCTTATAGGTGGTATTTCATTTTCACGTTAACTTTGGCAGTCATTTCTATTCCAAAGTTCGAAAAATGATCCACGAATATCATCCAACTAATCCTAGACAACAACAAGATTGTAGCGGATATAGTGTGCGTTCTGTACCGGTCATCAATGATGGACATCTGTTGTTTGGACCGAGATATCATTCACTGCGAAATTCGCCTTCTTCAAGGAGTTTGTGAATATATTAGATTTTAAATAGCTCAAACTTCTAATCTGCATGATAGGTTCACGAACAGAACAACAAAAAAGTTGCACAATCGAGCTACCTATATTCCTTATGAGGTCTGAATTTCGAAGTCTTTACTTAACTTACATTTTCTTAACTTTACCTGAACACCGTTTTGGAACTTGCAGAGCCGTGAATACGTCACTTTTAGGTCTCCAGACCCGGCCTGGTGCAATCATACCCAATGAACTTAGTCTTTCGCCTCACAGAGTTTCGTTTTCCCGAAGGTAATATATGCCCAGGACCATATCGTGGATATAATGCCGAGTGTCACCTGTTATTCGAATAAGCTTTCATCCAAATAATGGACGTGGTACATCACTGCGAATTGTCTTGCTTCCTTTTTTCGATGACTGACGATTTCAGCGACCAGGTTATCGATCTTGTTCCAAGAAATACTAAGGTTACATTAGAAAACGATTTTGATGTGATCAGGATGGTCACCTCGCATCAAGATTGCTTTCTAATTTCACATTATTATTTCTTGTAATGAAAGCAACTAACTTGTCGCTGCAATCGTCAAACGTCGGCTGCATTAGTTTTCTCACCATTCATCCGATTGCTGTTCCCTGCCATAACACAGTGTTGGTTGTCAAAACTCGTTGCAAATAGACAAATTTTTGTGCTGATATCATGCTATAAGCAGTGAAAGATTTGGTAGCCACCTTGAGTAATTTAAAATCGTGGCCAATCGAAATGCTGCCTGCACAAGTACAACAGACGAACAAAGCCTGGTTCAACTGCTACTAGCAGACGTGGTAAAAGCGTCATACTGTGTGGCAATCGACCGTGTAGAAATGATGTCATGAAAATTTTTCCTTATTTCACACATTACAACGTACGATATATACTGGGAACAACTGGTAATGTAGGCTGTCTCTGATAGGAAGGTTGCACAGTTGGGTTCAGTGATTTTGTCCAAACACCAAATTTCCTAATGTCATTGACCAGAAGCGATCGAGAATCAACTGGCTCACTTTAGTAAGAGGATCAACAACTCTTCATCACCGCGTCATTGGAAAGATTTACGCTTGGTTCTCATTTATAAAGTACTTTCGATTCTCTAGGTTCAGATGCTCGCTCCCAAAGTTTTTATGAAACAATAATGTCGTTACTTTCGCCGATGAGTTTAGAAATATAGAGAAAAAATCTGTGACACAGATCCCGGCCGACATTTACACATTCCTGTGTGCATGTGGCTCGAGTAAATCCCCTGAGTTTGAGGGCGGTTTTCTTCGCTTTGTTATTTTCAATTTCAACTTTGGATGCTTCGGTGAATTCGGCTTAGATGTCCAACTGTCTAAATATGTCCATTATTTTCGAACAAATGCTCATCTCAATGGAGCCATCACACGTGATTCAAATAGTCCGGAATAGCCCTGAATATTATGCGTGGGGTACAAGAAGCATTTCAGGAAACAAGCACTAAGTGCTTCTTTGGTCCATCGTTACAACCGACCTGAATCTTCCGAAAATTC